CGACGTTGTGTGCTCGAGACTGAGTAGCAACAGTGCGAGGAGGTGGATAATGTTGCAGTCACAAGTAGCAAGTCAACTATTCAATGTAGACCATCCAATGAAGTAGGCGTTACTGCCGATGTAGGCAGATCAAAGTGGGCGTTTTTACCAAGGTAGGCGTGTTCACGTCACGTCCGGGTCACCAATGTGGGGGGGCGGAGTTATCGATCATGCCAACCTTCATCTATGAAAAGGTACCCCCGACATAGAGTCGAGTTAACAAAGGTACCCCCGACATAGAGTCGAGTTAACATGTCTTATATATTAGTGAATTGTAGTTGTAATTTTGCAGTGGTAGATACGCTACAACGTAGAACATAGAATTGGTAAACAACATATTCCACTGCATCTACAGATGCTGTAGAGTACTGATGAATGTTTTCATAACGTTATTCGTAAAACAAATATTAATAAGCATTTACAAATGATGAACAACACAGGATACATATTTTTGCAACACAGGATATATATAAATGTTATTCGCAAAAAACATTTCTTCGCTGATGTGATGGATACATGATGCATGTAGATGGATAACCTTTTAATACTATGCAGGATTTCAGATTTTCTGAAAGAACATTTTATCTGTCACAACAATTTTAAAACAATAAAAATTTCCCCTTATTGAAATTAGCAAGTCAATAAATAAGAAAATAGATATAAATCCGTAAATTTACCTAATAAATAAATAAGCGATTGAGTGAATTCTATTTTAAGTATGTTATAAAAGGCGTTGAATAGCTAACACAAATCTGAGTTTAAGACTATCAATCACTAACTTCGTACCTTTGTAATTTTGAACCGAACCCAGAAGACAAGGGAACTCGTGGATCAAGCATTGGGACAAACAAGCTTTCATGGAGGCAATGAGAAAATAGATATTAAAATAAATCAGTAAATTCCCCTTATAAGTAAATAAATCAGTGATTGAGTCAGTTCTATTTTATGTAATAACCGGTGTTGAAAAGCTGACCGAATTCTGAGTTCACGACTATCAAGATTTAACTCTGTAATTTTGAACCGAACCCAGAAGAGAAGGGAACTGGTGAACCAAGCATTAGGATAAACTAGCTTTCATGGAGGCCAATATAATGGAACTAACCCACATTTGCGTTACATTGTGAGGAATACCACGAAAACCTCCCACGGCTAGCCTGGTGCCAAGGAGTTTCTAACCCATGATTCATCTACCATTGCGGATATTTTAAACCAGCGCAGTCGTCAGTACGAGATAGAGCAGAATTCGTATCAACCAGCAATTGCTGGGATTCGAGCTCGTGTCACCTTATTGGGAGGCGAAGTCTCTATCCCCTGAGCCATCTCTGCTCAGACGATAGAGGGTTCAGTTAAGCCAATTTAAAAATAAGAGAATCCCTGAATCAATATATTAGTAAATCACTGAAATATCGAGTCATTAAACAATCTAATCGGCAGCTATAAATACATTATATTATTTGACGTGTGATGTGATTCCATATTTCAAGCATTCCCTGATTTATTCACTCGTGGATTCACTTAACTATAGATAAATTTGCTCAGTGCTTTTTCAATTTATAATTATTCTCCTTCATTGATTCACTTATTAATATTATTTACTGACGCATGTTTATTCTCTAAATAATTTATAATTCACTCATAATTCATTTAATCGCTCGTTAATAGTCATAGACTTACTTAATTATAGATTTGATGATCTGCGTTTCTGTTTATTCGCTCATACGTTTAAACATTTTAGCTCGATAATTCATATTTATTTAAAGAATCGTTGATCCGTTTAATAGCTGATTCATCCCTTCGTTCTTGTATTGATCCGTTAATCTGCTTATTGATTAATTCGTTCATTCCCTTATTTATTCATTCACTAATTTATCCTATTTTTCATGCATTGATCCGTTGAAATATTGACTCATTTACAAGTACATTACATTGCAAGCTTAAATTTTCCTTCAGTGGGATGAGGGGGGGGAGTTTCCCTTTTTCTGAATGAAATTCCAAATTTGTCTGAATCATAATTGAACGATTGCATGCATATATTCCGACATAAAAAAAATATTAAGAGCAGCTTCTTAAGAAGTACATGTCATAAATAACATAGCTGGCTACTTTTCTTGTTTCAGACAGGAGATTTTATTTTTATATTTAAATTGGTAGCAAGATTTATATTTTGTTATTTATTTAATAAGTCTATTTTGAAATGTTTTTGCTCATCATTATACCAAATTAATTCAAAATTTATATATTCTGTAAACCATCAAATAATTTATGTGGTTTTAGGCGTAGATAAAAATTTAAGGAATTTCTGTTTTCAGTTATTGTTGCAACTTTTATTTCCCTACCACTTTAAAATAAAAATTTAAATAAGTGCAAGCGCTGACGGCTAGGCTTCACATTTTTTCTTAGTATAATTTGTCTAATAAAAATCAAATTTAAAATTGTGGAAATCCACGAAAATCCACCAAGGTTAGCCTCACGGCAAGAGTACTCTAACCCAAGATTCGTCCAGCTCGGAGGATATTTTACGCCATCATTGGGATCTGTTCACACTGCAGAACTCATATCAACCAGCTATCTCGGGGATTCGAACCTTTGTCACTTCAATGGGTGGCAAGAGCTCAGCTAAGGTACCTTAGCTGAAAAGAAAAAAAAGTCTCTTTATTTTCAGTAAAGAAAAGTAAGAAAGAGAGAGAGAAAAGGAAATTTCAAAATATGCCGAATGTCCCGATGAAATTTGCCCAATAGTGAATATTTTTGGGAGGTCACAGCGATCTCCCGTAACCCTCTTCCCGGCACCCCTGTTCATTTTTCAGACTAGTTAACTCGTTGATTTGTTTATACATTGATTTCATTTCTTATATTGTTTAAAATAGCTTATTTTTTGTGAATAAGTATGAGCAATTTCATATGAGCAACTCCATGAGCAACTATATAAATACAGCTATATATCTAGAAAAAGAGCTCTTTTTCTTCTACTATTAAATTCATGTTTTATCATAAAAGAATTATTTTTTAACCGATTGTTGTTGTAGTAGTTTGTTTACGTTACACTAGAGCTGCAAGATAGGCTGTTGATGACAATCTAGTCTGAGAAACATCCATGAGTATTATCCGAAGACGTATCATCTCAATTTTTATCCTCTTTATAGGGGAGGGCATCCCAGCTTCGGTAGCCCGACAACCAACGAGCGAAGTCGAGCATTTTACGGTGGAACAATTTAACGAGGACCAATTCCGCACACCCTCGGTCCCTTTGTAGCCTCTCCAAGTGGTCACCGAACCGCACACTGACAGCTGCCAGTGATGCTTGACTTCGGCGTGTGTTAACGGACACGCTTCCCAGGAACTGCGGGACTTTTAGCCGATTGAACATAGTATTTGGTTTAGAATTTACCAAAAATTTAAACTTCATTAATCATATTGTCGGTCTTCTCTCAAGCATCACTGGCTACGGTCAGGGTACGGGTGAATGACCACTTCGATTAGTCTGTGTAGGGACCGAGGGTGTGCGGTATTGGCCCTCATTAAACTTTTTACCTTAAAATGCTCGACTTCGCGTGCAGGTCGTCGGGCTACCGAAGCGGGTTGCCATCCACTCTGCAGAGGATCAAAATTGTGATGGCATGTCTTCGGATCATCCTCAGGGATGTTTCCCAGACCATCGCCAAATGCCCATTGAACAGCTCTAGTGCGACGTAAATGAAGTACAACAGCATAATGTCATCTCAGTCACTTTAAAATATATTTTATACAATCCAAATGTGTGTTGTTTAGACTATCCAAACTGAAAATATTTACGAAAGAGGAGAGCATTCTCACTGCCAACGATTTTATTGCATATGAATGAGACTGGTGGAAAATATTAACCCTTGAAAGGCTCGTCTCACCAAGGATGCTTTTGTTCTCGTGTAATTTTTTTCATGTTGAAAATAAATAAATAAGTAAGAAAATAAAAACAAGCTTGAAAAAATCTTATTTATTTAAATTGGCGATCGCAACGCTCGAATACGCCATCTGGGGAGAGGCCGGTTTCATGCCTTTGGCCCTTCTCCCTTCCCACTCCTCCTCTTTTCAGTTGTATGGATGGTGTTTTCGGTAGAAATGTAAACAATAACAATCCTCTTTCCATACGTTTATTACTGTTTGTTCTTGTTGCAAGCTGTGCACCATCTTACGTTAGTGTTAACACTTTCAGCATTGTAAACACAAGAACTATTAGCATTGTAAACACAGGTAATAAGTAATCAAATGCATTGTTTGCAAGAATCTCAAAATACAGCGATGCCAAATGGCTTTAAAATACAACGGAAACAGTAACCCGGAAATTTAGGCGGTACCGAGGTTGCAGCGTTCCCTAGTGTAGAAAACAACATCCATAGGAATGTACTCCGATATTTTCCCTTTTCTTAATATTTTTTCGATTTATTTAATAAAAATATTTTTTAAAATTTCCGTGATGCTTTTCTTTAGAACTATGCTTTATATAGCTTTCAGTTTCATGTAGTTTTTCAACTTGAAAGATTTTAATCTATATGAAAATCAAGAGAGAAACTGATGTGCTTCCTTCCTCTATGATTCTCCACACGCTACTGGAGAAAGCATGTGAAATATTGCCATAGGTAGAGAGTTCTGCTCTACGCCATCTGCAGCCCATTTCGATCGCCAATGGCCCACACAGAGATTTTCGACATGGAAACGGCTCTTCTGAAATGGCTCATTCGAGCATGGAGATTGTAATTTCTCTTCAATCATTGCTATAAAAAACGCTGAGAATTTATTTATATAGTTTACACATCTTGTTTTTATTAGTGTAAAAAAAATATTTTAAATTTGGGTAGTTTCAGAAGTTAAACGCAAATGCGTTAATGCAAATTGTTGGTTAAGATTTGGAGAAAAACGCAGATGAGGTTTGAAAACAACTTTAGATCAATCGTGAGAACCAATGACATTTAGGGAGTATTCCTTTTCTTATCTGCTAGTCAACCAACAAACGCGCAAGCTCGTTTTCGTCTGCATGAAGATCCGAGTTCTGTTTCGGATTGTTTCTTGTTTCTGCATTTCCATAATTATTTACTCTTTCAAATAAATATTAATGATTACAGAGTGCTGTAGTGTTCAAGTTTAACAATATAATGTAAATTATCAAACTACGAAGCGGTTTTTACTGTTCATACATAATCTCAAAGAAGGGGGAAAAAAGCTCAAAAAATTAATAATCAATAATTTTGTCGTTTGCTGACTTCAAATATTTATAAACTGATAAAAGTAAGAAAAACGTTAATTTTAACCGATGTTATTGCATTTATCCAGTATTTTAAAGATAAGTCTTCGTTTATTTATTTTGTTGCTATTGCAAAGTCTACTTACTACACATAATTCAATCATCCTATCCACTAAATAAGTGCTTATTATAACATTGCAATGGTATTTTAGCAGTCCATAAATTGTAGATTTCTATCTCTCATCTTATATTTTTGTATATTATAGTTAAAACAATTAAATATAAGTTTATTCACTATTTATTTGAATATCTGATGTACTAGACAGGTATCTATTAATCTCAAATTTCTGTTTTAAATGCCTAGTTCCTACTTTAAAAATATATAGTTGCATGTATAACTTCTTGAGATGTTTGATTTCTAATTTCTGTAAACTAACAAAATCTCAAGTTATAATGTTTATGAAGTTCTAGTCAATGATATTTACTTTTATTTGCGCATTGTTGCAAACTTATTAAGATACATTATTTAAAACTTCGTCTGATCTTCCACTAATTACATCTTTTGAAAACGACTATGAGTTATATATTTCTGGGGTCTATGCACTTTTGAAAAGAATTTTCATCTTAATTAATGACTTTAAGCCTAGCAATCAATGTAAAAGTGATCTATTTAAAACATAGTGAATTTCTCCAGCTATTAAGAAACAATTCAAATTTTTCAATCAAGTTTTTTTTTCTTGTTATATTGAAAGATGATTTATTAAAGATACAAACTCAAAAAAGCAGGCTTGATATCTTCTATAGTTTTTTCCTCGTAAAACTTTATACATATTTATTTCTGTAAGTTCAATAACTAGCATATGAAAACATGCAACTAACAATTATTCCTATTTTGCTGTGATTCCAAATAGTATGCAAATTATTATTGTTATTTTATTAAATTCAAGATAAATATGATTAACTATTTGTTTTTAGTCATTTTTAGCATATGTATACATGAAAATTTGTATTTTTTTTTTAAATCTTTATATAATTAAATTTTAATTTGTATTATTTTTGTTCTAATTACTTTTTTATGCTTAATGATTTGTAAAACTTTTTTATTAACATTTATATTAATTGCAGGTATGTTTTTGTTTGAGTGACTAAAAAATAAAAATTTTATCTATTCTTTTTAAAATGCAGATTATTGTTGTTATTAAATATTATTTACTAGATTCAAAATCAATGCTTTTAATAATTTGTTTTTAAGCCATATTTAGTTCAGATAAAAATTTCAAATTGTATTTCACAAATATTCATATTCTTTAATTTTTATTACTGTTATTTTCGTTTTGATTACTTATTCTATGTTTTAATATGTTAAACTTATTTAATTATCATTTATACTAATAGTAGGTTTGTTTTTGTAGTGTTTCTTTTTAGTTATACTTATGTGCATTTCATTATTTGTTTATAATCTGGTAAATTCAAAGATTTTTAATCAAAATTTCTTAAAAATTATTTTTAATTAAAATTATGGTACATTTTTTGCACGCAATTTCCTATATTATTCTAATTTTAACTAATTTTGATTTAGTTTTACAAACATTCTCTTACTTGATTCATAATATACTCTCGATAAAGAATTTATACTATTATAGCTTAAGACTAAATAGTTTGTTCTATGCATATATTTATCAAAACCCAATTATACTTCAATATTATACCTATTCTTGAAAAAAGCTTCATTATGTTTGTCATAAATTTTAATTTTTTTACTTTCCCAAAAAATAATTTATGTATTTATCACCTGAAAAATTTTAATATTTCTCACCATTAAATAATAAAATTGATTATTAAATTAAATTTCTAATTTTAGTTACTTTTTACAATAAACACATTTACTTAATTTGATTTAAATTAAATATTTATATACCTACCTCACTTTATGAAAGGAATGCACTAGACCTTCTGCAACTGCAACTAAAAATTTAATAAAAAGTTTTTTTTTTTATTAATTTTTGAATAATTTATTTAAGCAAGTCATTCATATTATTTAATACAAACTGAATTTACACTCAAATGCTATTCATAGATATATACTTGGTAACCAAAATACTCCAGCTCGTCAGAGGGTACGATTCATTATTACAGCATCTGCAGATTATTTTTCATCTAATTTTTATTTTTTAAAAACAAACAAACAAATGGGAGAAAATTATTCAAACACTTTTTTTAAAATATCTCTAAACTTGTTACTAATAAAAATTTAAATTGAGAAAGCACTGTGAAGAATTTTTTCGTCTGTTACTTGGTTACAGGCTTGAATGTTTAAGAATCTATTTCATTTTTTCAGGAATCTATTTCATTTTTTCAGTATCATTGTATTAAACTCAACTTAAAGTTAGGCAACATAAAATCTTAACGTATAATTTTTAAGAACCTCATATTTGTAAATTTTGGTACATGCATGTAAATTTAAGTTGAATTTTTACGGGAATAGAGCATTTGCCGTTCAATGTGGTGAACCTGGTTTGAATCCCAGCGAAAACTGGTCTATACGAATTCCGCATCCAGCTTGCACCAATCACAGTGCTGACGTAAAATATCCTCAGTGGTAGACGGATCAAGAATTAGAGTCCCCTTGCCGCCGAGTTATCTGTGGGAGGTTTTTCTCTCCATGTAACGCAAATGTGGGTTAGTTCCATCAAAAAAGTTCTCCACGAATTCAAATTTCTCCTAATACTTAATTCAGGATTTCCCTTGTCTTCTGGATTGGATTCAAAATTACAAGGCTACGGAGCTGAACATTAGCAGTCCTAAACCCAAAAATTGGGTCTGCTGTTTAACGACGGTTATAGAGAAGAAGAAAATAATAATTATCCTTGGTCGATTTCATTGAGGTCACAGACAAAAGTGTATGAAGATAGTGATGCAGTCGATATCTGTAGTTAAATCAAAGTGTAAATGTTTAATAATAAAATTCTATAGAAAAGATTTAAGGTCTCTTTTCTTAAAAAAAAAAATTCTATGAAATTATGTTATGAATTATTATCAATTTAAAGTTTGTTTCTATTGAGTTTTCTCATATTTTTAACACTTGAAAATGAAGATTCTATCTGAAAATATAAAATAGCACTAATTCATGCTTTTATAGGTAAAGGCTGAACTCGATTATATTTCATTGAGTGTCTCATATTGAAAATCGAACTCTTTTCTTTAAAGTATATCAACTAATTTTATATTGAAGGCTATGATTTTTTTTTCTTTAATGTGTTTACTTTTATGGAGTTGAAACTGAAATATTTTTTGTTTTTCTTAATTTCAGGGTTGTTTATTTTTTAAGTTTATAATTTTTTATGCAACTTTTTTAAAAAGTATTATTTTTATTTTTTAGGCCAGCTATGATTTCTATAAAAGCAGGATTTTTATTTTATTCTCTATGCATCCATATTTGCATAGCACTGTCAACAGCTGTTAAAACTGAGTATTCTGAGTGGAAAAATCTTAATAATCCTGATGATTCCCCTGCTCATACTTGGGACTTTGAGTTTGATGATAAACAAGTGCAGGTATAGAAATTTTCATTTGTAATTTATTAAGTTTTTATTGTTGATACATTGTAAAATATTTATAATTTATATTATTTGTACTGTACGTTTATAACATCATTATTCATTTAAGCTTTATCATTTTGATCCTTTGATCCTTTTATATATTTTTTTTTTCTGATGCTCTAGTTATAAGCAAAAATATTAAGATATTTTTTAATTGTGGGAAACAGTCTAATAGTTACTAAAAAATGTTTTAGATTATTATTTTAACAATTATATTATTATATATACTGTTAAGGCAAAACAGTTTCTAAAATTTATGTCTACATTTTTGCCTTTGAATGTGTTAGTGACTTTACTCACACTTTCATATAATGTAATTGTATTGTGCTATTTTCTTCTTTGATTGTAAATCTCTGGTTGCTCATGCTTTGATGTAATTAACAAATAGTTATGCTTTATTAAAATTTCTTTATAGCATGCACTGTTTGGAAACATTTTTGTTCTGCAAAAAATATGTTTAAAAGAGAAAAACTAAAAGTATTGTTTTAAAAGCAAGTTTTCTTTAATTAAAATAAATTACTTGAAGTTTAGTTTCCATTTTTTTAGGATACTACAGAGAGTGATAAGTCATTTTTGAAAGCTACAGAAATTGTAACTGAAAGTGAGTAATGTGTTTTTATTTTATTCGTCCATTTTGAATATTTTTTTTAATTAGAAGTATACATTTTTTAGAAACTCTCAACTATTTTTCTTTTTTAATAATATTTTATAAACATGTGAAGCAATACTTCAAAAGTACATAAAAAAACTTAAAATTATGATTATAGAATTATAGAAAGGTCTACATTTATTTATACTTAGGTACTTTATTGTTTTAGATGACCTCTGCAAAAATTTGCAGTGCAAACCTCATCAAGTATGCTTGCTGGAGGATGATGATGTGGCTGTATGCATTAGTAAAAGAAAGCTTAATGCCAAAGAGTAAGCATAAATGTTTATGTCAACACAGGATTTTGAATTTTATTTTTATTCTTAAATTTTAGTTTACAATTCCTTTTATTGTTTTACATGTTTCGTTTTTATTATTATGAATCTGAAGTTTTTTTTTTTTTTTTAATTCTACAGAAGCTGTTTTGCTTAGTTATTTTATTGCATAAAATATTGATTTTATTTAAAATACAAATTAATTGAAAGCAAATATGTTTTTATGTTATTAATGTTTAAGAAAAATGCTGGGAATAATATTTAACTGTTTTTAACTAGCTGTTTTTTTTATCTTTCAGGGAACAATTATGGTCTACTTTTTAATACAGATACTTTCTTACATTTTCTTATTTTGTCTTTTATTATTTATTTTTTTTATAGAAATTTATAATAAAATGTAGTCAAACCTTGCTAATTTGTACCTCAGTTTTACGAATTTCTTTGTTCCATGTAGAAAATAATTCCCTTTAAATTTCCTACATACTTAATCTTAAAAGCTTATTTTGACAAATATTTTTCAGCTCTTACCTTGATAAAACTGAACAACGTAAATAATGGGATAAAAATTAGCATATAATTGTGGGTTAATTAAATATTTACATTAAACATTAATGTTTTTATTTAATCTATAAATTACTACCAGAGCCTGCCTTACATATTAAACTATAAGTATAGTCTATCTATTTTTGCACCCATTATTTGTGCTTTATTTATTTTTTTGTTTCTTTTTTTTTTCATACTTTGATCCACAAATACAGTAGAAATTTTTTATAAAATTAAAGAATAAAATTCCAAATAAACAAAATACAGACAAACCATATAAAAAAAATATATATATAGTGAAAACAGCTTATAGTGAACTCTCAGATATAGTGAACGAAATGTTCGGTCTCATGCCTTGCTATACATGTATAATGTTATTTTTTGTGGATATAGTATACCAAAAAAGTGCGGACGTTGGATATAATGAACTGTTTTCAGTTGATCTTTTTTCTCCATTTTTTTGTATTAATTTTGAAATTTCTACTCTAAAATAAAATACATATACTGATTTTTAAAACCATCTGTAGAGGGGAATGTAGCGATAAGCATTTTTTCTTGTTTACTTCTTTTATCTCACTTTCCCATCCCTAAACAAACCAAGCAGATGTTTCCAACCCAGGCAGATGATGCACCTGTAAGATGTCAGTGGGATCAATATGCAGACCTGCCAACTTTTAATCCCTTCCATTATCATTTTTCCCAGTGGTATTAAAATGGAATTAAAACTTCAATTTTATGCAAACAAATACGTTGTATTTGAAAAAAATTAAGTTGACAACCATGATAGTAACGCATATTAATATATAAGCTTAATTTTTGTAAGAATAGTGGTGATCAAAATCATTTAAAAATTAAATTTATAAAAGAAAAAATAGTATACATTTACTACCACTTTAAATATGAAAATAAAATCTCCGTTTAAATCCGGGAGAATTGGCAGGTATGAATATGCATTTTCTGTCAGAGGGAATGAGTAATTATTCATTATTGGTCAAAGGCTTGGACACTAATATGTGTTGATAAGGCCCTCATTTCAACTCCTTTTTCCTCTCAGTTCAGTTAAAAAAATCCTGCAAACAAGTGTCTCAAATTTAACTATGGCGAGCAGTAAATGTAAAACGTTCTGCATTGATGCTAAAATAGACATAGTCTTAAAAATTGAAAATGGATGCAATCAAGCTGATATTTGCAGGGAATATAAACCATCCAAATCTGCAGTTTGTAACATATAGAAAAATAGGCAATTAATAATTTCTGCTCATAAAAAACAATTTATATGGCAGAAAAAAGTTGAGAAAAGCAGATCACAAGGATGTTGAAGAAGCATTACTGGAGTGGTTCACCAATCGAAGATGCCGCAATCTTCCAGTATCTAGACAAATGTCGATGAGTTTGCTAAGCGATTTTATGTTACTACTTTTAATGTGCTCGAATAGAAGGTTAGGCAGGTTTAAAAAGCGGAATAACAGAAATTCAGGAAAAATTATCTGATAGTCTGGAAGTGTTTCCATAACTGAAGTTGACCATTGCTCATCACCTGAAGATTACTAATTTATTTTTGTACGCAAGATGAAGAGTAATGAAAAATAAAAAAAATTTTGCTACTGCATAATATTTTTCAGTCATTTATTTGAATAATGTGTAATAAAAGGGAGCAGCTTGGGAACCATTAGTTAAATTGCTTGCATAACGGATATAGTGAACTCCCAGTTATAGTTTGACTGTATTTCAAAAAATTAAAAAAAGTACTCAAAAATAAGATACCCTAGAAAAAACTGCATAATTTTAAAAGAAAGGAATATTAAGATTGCAGATAACACAATTATATCACATTATATAATGCCTTTATAAACCCATAAACAATAACACAATTATGTAACACCTTTATAGACCCATAACTAGGTTAAAAATCAGCTAAATATTCTCAACACATTTGAAGCTTTTGTTCACTTAGTATCTCCAACAAAACATCATACTCTTTTTTTTAGCAACTGTTTTTAAGGAGTTATGTAAAAAAAAACTCTTCTTTTTTTTTCAACTGTTGATAGCATGTCCTTTTAATAACTCAATTTTTTGATATTTTGAACTTTTGCATGTCTTAAAGATTCTGATATCGAAGTTACCTGTATTTTATTACGTAGATTGTTTATTTCCTCTAAAGTATAAATTTATTTTTAAAAATAAATTACTTATTTTTATTATTAATGGTAAAAAATGTCTTTGACATTATATTTATAATTTTAATGTAATTAACTGTTTGTTTCAATGCTATTCCATGAACAATAATGGTTTAACATTTTATTCAGTAACTTATTTTAATTTTCTTACTCTGTTTCCAATTTTTAAATTAATTTTTGAAGAAATATCTCAATTATTTTCTCTAAATTAATTGTGAATCAATATAATTTTTATTAAATGTATATCAATGTGTTTTTTATTATACACTTAATCTTAAACATTCAAGTCTTACTGGCTGTGATTAATGTATTTTTGTATCAAAAATTTGCCCTCTGTATAAGAAATAAATTTTTAAAATAAGCAATTTATTTATTGCAAGTTATAAATTGAAATAAGTGATAAATTTTTTGTTCTCATTTTAGAAATGCTATGAAATATTCAGTTTCTAAAAAACCGAAAACAAAAGAACTTAAGACTGAATCACTATTTTGGGAGAAAGGTGAAAAAGAAGATCCTGTTCCTAGTGAAAATCCAAATCCTTGCATACCATGTCCCGTTTTAAAACCGGACTTTGTTTGTGGTTCAGACAATCATACATACTCTTCAGTCTGCCGATTAGAATTTCGTAACTGCATGCATAAAGTTTCTGTAAAAGTGAATTGCAAAGGATTTTGTCCTTGCAAAAGTAAGCTCTTAATTTGCATTTTCAAAATTCATTTTAAATACTGTCTTAACTTATTTATAATAAAAGCATAGAGACCAAAGCAAAGAAATCATTAAATTATGACGCTTCTTTAACCAAAGTCATATAAAACTATTAAAATTAAAAATTATTGGCAACAAAATAATCTAGGAAATGTTTTAACCAATTTTATCTTTAGACTTCTCACGAAATTTATGAACAACTTGTTTATTAAAATGTTAAGCTTCTATCAACAGAATTTCATATTAGATTTTTATCATTAAACAAGCCATTTTTAAAGTTTTATCTTTACATCAAAATTCACTGGGTTCAACTATACATTTCTTTTTTATCAAATATAATGATTTTCCTTGAAGACAATCTCTTGGGAAATCGATGTCAATTCTTTATTGGTTGTGTAGATGTCTATATATGATGTGGTTGAAAGCAAGTTTTTCAAATTAAAACAAAATTATTAAATATAGAATAATCCCATTTGAGCAAGATACTCTTTGAATTTTAGAGAAATCAAGTTTGCTTCAGTTAAAAGTAATTCCTGTGAAGAATAAATTATTTGAATTCAAAACCCTCATAGTTGACTATCATTGCTCCCCTATATTTACTTTTTTGTGACTTGCATTATTTTATTAAATTGAATTATTTATTTTATTAAATTTTATTTTTTTAAATTTAGAATTAATTTGAAATTTTGTATTTTTTTAAAAGTATTAGAGAAAAAAATCAATTCTCTATTCTAAAGATTCAACTACCTTGAAATGAATATTCTAGTATACTATAAAATAATTTTGTGTCAGTTATTTAAAATTTTTGAACTATCTTTTGTAGAAAAAACTTATTAACACAAAAACTAATTCACACAAAATAGTTTTTGTTCCCTAAAATAACAAAATAACAGGCTAAGAAAATTGGGCTCTGATTTTTAATTTAACAACAGTTATTTTTTTAAAATAAAAAATGCACAAATTCGATACCTATATTTTCAATATTTATGAGTTAAAAGTGGTGGAAAATCTTTTTAATGTGCATATTTCATGTTGACCAATTTGAGAGTGTGTAACAGCTTTACTTTAAAAAATTATTTAAAAATTTTAAGAGTTGATAATGGCTATGGGATATTGCTTTCCTTACATGTGTGTAGTGTTTTTAAATTTCACTAAAAATGAAAAATGTCATAAGAGAAAAATTGGAGAATGAAGAACAAAAGGAAGAAGGAATTGTAAAAAAAATACTATATGGGATTTTGATACGATTACTGTGTACCAAATTTTTATATTGCTTTTATGTTTTGATACTAATGTATTTGGTACTACTTATTACTAAATATTCAACATGCATTACTTTTCAGATATTAATGCATATTTTAAAAGCAAACCGTTTTTAAAAAAAAAAAATTTAAAAATCTGCTTATTTAGAAAAAAAATTTCTTGTTAAATATAGTTTAATTTTTAAAAACGCAACTTTAATATTTTGTTTAATGGGTATTTTTTAAATTTGAATTTTAACATATTGGATTTTTACATTCTTCTTTTAATCTAAATTAAAAAAGAGTTTATTGTACCAGGTATTGATATCCTTTTAAAAAAGCTGCATTGTTATCACTAGGAGCCTAGTATTCTATATCTTTTTATGTTATTTGTTATTGACTAGTTTTACTAAATAAATAATTTTGTAATTTAAAAATTTATTTCTTGCCAGCTATCAAGAATGATGTGGACAAAAGCAAAGAATGGCAAATGAAGGATCGCTGGAATCGTTACATGAACAAATATCAAAATACTGTCAAAAAACCAGCAGCTGTTCAGAAAGCTCTGAAAAAAAGCCACTCAATCAACAAGATTGTGAAGAATCCTAACATTCTATCAAATAAGTAATTTTTTAAAATACTAAAATTTATTTAAAAAAATATCTATAAATAATTCAAAAGTATATAATCCATAATAAAAACATGCAAGTTTTTGAATTGCAAATTTAAAATATATTTTGAAAAACTTATATTAGCATACCATAGAGATTTGAATATTATCCCGTGTATATTCCTTTTCCATTCTTTTATAAAAGTAAATAATAAAATTATAATATTTATCAAATATTAAACAGTTATGAGTATCAAAATATGGCTTAAAACTACATTTATTTTATGACCATATTAATGTTCTAATTAAAATGGCAATAAATTAGTTTCTAAAAGGTTTTTTTTTTTCAGAGATGTAACTACAATTAGTACTGATACCATGCAAAAACCATCAAAAGCATTCCAAAGTAATAAAATATCAACACCAATTGTTGAAAAAAGTAATACATTATCTCATCTGTATATTTTTGTTTGTTTGTTAGTTTTCTTTAAAACCATGTTAGAGGAAATTTCAAATACTATTTTTTATTTTCTCTTAAGGCTGCAATGAAAATGAGTTGAAGGCTATGGGAGATCGATTATTGGACTGGTTTTCAGTTGTTATGGCTGATCATCGTCGTGGACAGTCACGAAGAAGATCTTTCCGACTAAGCCACAGTAAGATTTTACTATAAATTTTTTGTGGTGTATCCAATATAGGCACTTCTGCTATGTTGTTAACTTAATATATTTTTTAAAAAATATCTGTGCACGTAGAAGTAAGGTCTGATTTAGGTATTTTTAATCTTACTCAGCCAAATTCATGAAGAAGAAAAAAAGGACAAATTTATACTCAATATTTATTTTTCTGGCTTGGCCTTCTAATGGTAAGATGTACATATCTCATCAAAATTTTACTTGTTCTGGGCATGTCACCTAACATAATTTTTGTGCCTTGGTTGTTACCGACACTGAAAGGATGGTCACTTTTCAATTAACTCATTTTATATAAGTAGGGACATTTACTCAACTTATTTGTACATTTGTTTAAACTTATTATATATTTATTGCACACAGCTCAACTGCCTGATTGCAAACCTGAGGTTAGTTGGATGTTCCAACATTTGGATACTGATGGAGACTTGAAACTATCTCTTCAAGAATTGTATGATTTAGAAAATGATGACCAAGAGCACTGCCTCCGACCTTATCTCCTAGATTGTGATGTTGAAAGAGACCTTGTTTTAAGTCCCTATGAGTGGTGTTCTTGTTTTGACAAATCTCGTAAGTAAAAAAAATGTTTTAGCTTTTCCTTTCTTATTAACATTATACAAACTGTTTTGAATATTATTTAAACCTAAACAGATATCAAATTAATTTAGGTTTCAAAATGCAAAATCATTTAAAAATATTATGACTCTTCTCAAGTTTTAAATGAAATACTTGGTTTAATTTTAAAATTAAAATTGCATATAGCAACTCCTAGGTTTTTTTTTCTCATCAATTGAGTAAAACATTTATTTAATAATATTTTCTACAAATTTTCTTACTAACCTTTTTTTTAAATAATATTTTGTTGTTTCAGAACGTCCTTGTGCTGCAGCGCTTCGTAGAATTCCCCAAGGGCTGATTGGTAAATATTACATTTTTACAAGGTTTTTGTATATCAATATTCTTTACTTAAGTATTTTATTTAAAGTAGTCAAAACAATTTATTCTAAAATTTTAAGTTCAAAATATAGCATTATTTTTTCTGTTTTGTAAATTGAATATATTTTATATTACAAACTATTGATTTATTTTACTAAACTATAATATATTTTTTATATTCACTTATTATTTTAATGAATGAATTTCTATTGTACTTAAACAATCATATGTGTCAAATAGGCCATTTACAAAATATTTGTTTTCCAATTTTTTAGAATTAACTTTTTAAGAAAAAAAATCTGGCTTTAAATAGTTCCTGTTGTTTTTATATTGTTATGTTGATTGTGTAATTTGTTGTTCTGTTACTTTGAATTACTCACAAAAAAAATATTGTGAGCTTAAGTTAGTGTATGATTAAAACATCTAACCATTATGAAACTATAACTATATATCAGTGGTTGCCAACTGACGGCCAGGGAGCTGCATCCGACCCTCAAAGCTTTTTTTTGTCGCCCGCGAACTAAAATATATTAGTTGTCATTTTTTTGCAGACAATTTTCGTAAAAAATCTGTATGGGTTTAAAATACTTTTCTCGTTAATAATCCTGCTATATATCTATCGTAAAAAATTTATTGTTTTGTAACGATAAATAACTCATGAAAACAACATCATCTTCTTAAGTTCATCTACGGTAATGTTGATATAATCATCAGGTATCAGTTTTAAGTAATTTGCTTCAGTGCAATGAATTACTATCAACATCATAATTAGCTTAAGTGAATGTATAATTAAAAATATGTAGCTGTTTTGATATGAGTATCTATTATAAGTAATTATTTGTTATGTTTTTAAGAATAACTCATAAAAACAACATAATAAACTTATAAAATATTATACTTATTAATGCATGTTAATACATATATTTGGTTAATATATTACATACATAGTTAAGAACTTGTGATTAAAAGCATATAGCCGTTTTGATACTATAAACAAGAAACATTTTTTGTGCCAAGACGTGAAATACGATAAACAATTTATACTATTTAACGAGTATAGTATTAATATGGTAGGAATCCAATGTTTATGCAATAAATACTGGTTCAGGTGTTTGGGAGTTTATGTTTTGTATGTTCTTTTGTACATATTTTAGAATCATAAACATAGGTGTGATGAATAATCACAAAAATTTCATTTGGTTTTCAGAAAAGTTATAAAAAATTTCAAATTATTATTTATGAGAATTAATTGATATAGAACTAACATTTATTTGAATTGTTCCTATAATTTCTTAAAAAATTCAGATGAATATTTTTTTAGAAATTACTGTTCTAATTTTATGTAAATTTTAAACAAATTGACATAAAATTAGAAAAGTATATACCTATTCTGTTGAATTAAAATGCATTTCTTTTAAAAGATTGTTTTTTAACGCATTTTTTGTGTCTCGATTTTTTTTAAACTTTACATATTGATGAACTTTATTATGTGTCTGTTTAGGTGGTTATAAACCACTTTGTGATAGTGATGGCTACTATTTGCCAACTCAATGCCATAATGGATCTGGAACTTGTTGGTGTGTTGACCGCCATGGGGTGGAATTCACCAATACGCGAAGACGAGGACGACCTGATTGTGGTAAGTCTATCTACTTTTTTAACCATTTTGATTCTTATTAAACTTTTTTATAGTTAGTTTTACAAAGCTTTATTAGTCTAGTAAAATAGATTTTTATCTATTGTTATTTAATTTTTTATACATAGTGTTAAGAACATAGTGTGTCATTGTGTATCTATAGTGTGTCACTATCGGTCTTGATATAGGGTGCGAGTAAATATAAAAAAGGGAATCGATGAATCCGTTTGTTTATAAATTAAAATTTAAAGAATTATGGTTTTTGAATTCAACAATTAATTTTTTTGTATTTAATATTTGTTTGTGTCAAGAATTGCATAAATTTCTCCCTCTAATGATAAAATTTTAGTCATTGCCATTTAATGTTAAAAATAATTTACCAATGGTTGTCAAGGTAATTGTTTCAACAAATTTTTGAAGAAACCTTGAAATATAGTTTTAAAAATTAGAATTTGATGACATAGCTAATTAACTAACTTTTAATTTCTGATTTTATTTCGTAAAAGGTAACAAAATTATGTATTAATTTAAATTGTATTGCTTTGTTTAAAATCTTATGCTGCATTCAATTTCTAAATAATTATTTGATTTATTTTTAACAATATATTTTTTACATTAGTGTTTAACCTCAACCAAATTCATGCTTGTTTGCTTTTATCCTTCAGGTTTAAAATTTATTATGATTAAGTTGTGTGGTATTAGTACCTAGTAATATTCTCTGCAGAAACCCATTTTTTATATTTATTTCGACTACATATTTCCTACCAATAAATTATAAAGCTACTGTTTTTTTTTCAATCAATTGTAAAAAATTGTCTACATTTATAACTAATTTATAACAATATTTTGTAAATAGAGTAAAATTCAGAATCTGATTTTACTTAGCAGATCATAGCAGACTTAGTTTACATTTAATAAATGAAGAAAAACGATACTAAAATTTTTAATGAAAACTTTGTACTTATATCTGTATAAACTAAACTCAGTGGCGCGACAGCCCATAGAGGGCCAAGGCCTCATCTCAGTTTTCTTGACCTTGGGCTCTGGGGTGCAGGAGCAGATGTTCCAGTCAGCCGAACGCAGAAACCCCAGTGTTTAGTTCCCAAGCATGCTTGGTACTCATTTATCGACCCACTGAAGGGATGAAAGGCTGAACTTATATCTATATATCATAAGTATATACTTTATTTTGATAACTTTCTTTTGTCTTAACATGTATAGATGGTCTTTTAAAAAGAGGTCAATATCATCGTGAGGACAACAAGACCAAAAAGCAAGAAGATGAAAAAGTAGAGAAAGAAATCTCCTCATTTGTTGAAGGCCTTTTAAAGAATGGGCAGCAGCAGCATCGGGATGAAAACCAAGATAATGATCAGGAGGATGATAGTGAAGAGGAAGGCTCTGCTGACCGACCATTAGATTTTTAAGTTATACAAGTTCAGCTCTGTATGGAGGGTATTGTTACATAGTCTAAAGTTTGACACTATTCATTTGTCTTTTGCACCAATAATAACATGTTGATTTTGCTTTGATCATAGTAGCATAGCTGCCATTTTATCCTTGAATTTATGATGTGCAATGATCTTACATAAATCAAAAAAAATTTATATTGCTGTTTTGCTTAGAATTTTAATTTGGAGTAATTAAATTGTTTATATTCAGACTAAAAGATTTTTAGTTGTGTAATAACAGTTTAGTTTAATACTTTGTGAAGGTAGGCTAATTATTTCTTGGTGGGTTGTAATTTTCTTTGTAAACCTTAACATTATAGAGCAAAATTAGGATATTTTGTTTCCGGACAATGGCCAGATGTAGCATTTTTAACATTGACCACATTTTAAAACATGTGGCCACTTTTTGAAAGTTTAAAATTTTAAAGGTTTATAAAAACCGGTGAGATTAATAATGTAAGGCTTTTCTTTGGGAGCATTTCTGAAAATATGGCAAACATTACAAGGCTCATTTCAAAATTTAAGAAACAAGCTGGAAATGAAGTAATTTTTAAATTATAAAATTTTCACACTAATTTCATATTTATCTAAAAATAATAAAATGAACCTACATGGGGTGAATTTTCTACCAAAAAAATAGCGATCATGTAGTGTCAACAATTTTTTTAATTATCATTTGTTATATTTAGTTACTTTGTGACTGCTGACAACTATTAATTTTGCTCTATACTTGGCATTATATGTTTTGAATTTAATATGTGTTATCTACTGCTCAATTGTAGCTTATTATTATCAAACTATTTGACGATTACGTTTAAAATTTATTTATTTTAAGGGAACTTTATCATGCAAGTTATCTTGGATGTTTACCACCAATAAATTAGTAAATTATTAAAATGCTGCACTTGTTCTTGTTAAAAATAAATCAAATTCGTTAACATTGAATTTTAATATAATGTAATTTATTAATGTTATCAAATCAATGTAATAAATTTTCTGTTAGATCTATTTTTAATACATTATATTTCAGACATTGCATGCAATTTTATCATTAAACTGTTCACTTTTTAATGTTTGGCAGCTATGCTGTAGAATGAAGCTGCAATGCTTCAAAGTACACATATCTTTAATGTTTCCAATACATGTATTTGCTTTGTTGTTTGCTTGGAACAATTTTTAATGTTTTTAATATGACATGCATTGATAAGCTAATATAAATGCCACAACGTTCCTCTGTGTGGGAGCTGATCTGTGTTATTGATGAGTACTGAAAGTTATTTAAGTTAGATTTACACTGTGCAAATAGATCTCATATTTGTCTTTCCAGGAATTTTGTAATGGCACATTAGCTGTGTGATGTTTAGTATGCATTTAACTGTTTTTATTGTATACATGCGCGTGTTTGGCAGTTTCTTTCTCGAGTGTGTATGTAAAATCAGCCATATGTATCCAGTATCTAAATATTTTGCTGTCGGTTACGTGTATGTACACAAGCTACAGCTTTGTAATATCTATTTTTGCCAAGGATGTCTCTAAATTTTTAATTTTCAATATTTGTAATCACAAATTTGATTTTAAGATTATATACTTAGTGCCAAACATTTGCAAGTATTAGAAAAATATGTTTTTTGATAATAATACTGTATTGTCCCTTTTTGTGATTGCAAATTAGTCTTACAAAATTAGATATTAGGATTAATTCGAAAGGGAATGAGTAGAGTTCGAACTGCAAGTAATATGCTGTTTGGAAACAGTCCACATTCTAAATTCGTATATGTTTATTAGTACTACTCATATAAGAGCTAATGGTTAAATATATACAAAAACATTAAAGATAAGGATAATACAAGTATTACATCTGTAGTTTGCTGCTTGATTTGATAGTAATACACTTATATACTAGAAAAAATATAAAATGTTGGTGTTCATGTTATTATTAAGTTTTAAAATACACTTTAAATGTGTGTTTTTTTATTTCAAATGTGAAACATTTTTTAATTGAAAATGAATAAACATTCCCTTTTAATTTGGCAGTTTCATCAAAGATTTTATTTCGTATAATATGAACTATTTTTTAAAAAAATTTTTAATTATTCTCAAAATTACGTGAAATAAATTATAACATATCATTTTTAATTGTTATCTAAAGCAAAGATTTTATGTAATTTATATTTTGTTGCATTTCAATGATTTAAAATATTTTTATTTGTCATTTTATCTTAATGTTTTTAAATGTTATTTAAGTGCTTTTTAAAAAAAAAAATAGTGTTTACTAGTGTTTTTTTAAAGTTAGTTATAGTTACTATTACTAAAATTTGAGATTACTATCATTTCATTTATCAAAAGCTTTTCCTTAGTCATTGATTTCACCTTTTATTTTGTACAAATTGGCTCATATATATTCAGTATTATGCAATGTAGGTATCACATTGATTGGCCAAATTACGCATTTTTTAAATGTTTTCAAAATTTATACCCATTACTATATTTAAATGTGTCAAACATTAAATAAGTATTCATTCTATATACTTGATTAGTAGAAATCTTCGCTAAACAGCATGATTTCTATTATTTGTTTGTTTCCTCATATTGTTCAAATTTCGTGACATTAGGCAGTGTTGTATAGTAAGATACTAATAAAACAATTTACTAAACAATATTGGCTATTTGACTTACATTGTTTTTCAGGGTGGTTTACTTTTGGAAAACCTACCTCGTTTTGTTTTGCTTAATGTTTATTTTGTTTATAAGACATCAGCATATTTTACTTTTATTGCATTCTTGAATATTTTGCTTGATGATTACTCAGCAGATTTTATGTACGATTTATAACTCTTATTGCTTACCAAGATTCATAACTCTTATTGTACTTATCCGTTTTGGTAGGCAGTAAAAAAGTCGCCAAACTATTATTGACATCAATCATGCTTAATTAGTTGTGGTAATTGCTACCACTGATATTTTGGTAATTGATACTTAATATTAAAATGTAGGTACAATAGTAGTGTGTTTTTAATGCCTTTCCAAAACGGATTAGTACCCTCTTATTTTCCATCATCCCCTTCAGTTCATTTTCTTTCTTTGGCAGTCTCATTAGATGTAAATCTTGTTGTGTTTTTTTTTTAAAAATATTGATGCTATTCTAGTCATTTTTTTTTAGATAAATGTTTGTTGTTTTAGTTATTAAGTGTATTTTATGTATCAGAATTTAACAACAAAATCAAAGTCTTCCATTTGAGTTTGGTTTGTTCACATTATTTGAACTTAAAATTTCTTCTACTTTTATGTTGTAAAAATTTTATGCTGGTGTTTAATGTTCTAATTGTGTGTTTACTCTATACTTGTATCTATAAATTTTATGTTTAACTATGTAAGTGTCGAAATATATCTATATATATTATTATTCATCAAGAAATAACTGCTAATAATCTGCATTGCTGCCATAATTTTTTAATTATTAATGAATGCTCATAATATCAGAAGGAAGAATTTTTTCCTTTAAGATTATGCCTCTGTAATATGGCTGAAAATCTACTTAATTTTGACATTTTTTAGTTATTATACTGTTGTTTTTCTGAAAATAAGGGATTTTTGTTTCAACAGTTTTGATTGGTACATGTGATTTAATATTAATCATTTAAAAACTGTGCACCATTAAATTTACAAGCTTTCAGTAATAAAACAGCTTTACAAAACTTTTTTTATATATATATACATTTAGATATCCTTTATTTTAGCATTTTATATTATATTTTTGTTATATTATTATTTATTTTTGCATTTCTGTTTGGAAACCTCTTTTTGTTTTTTCTTAGAATCTTTATTTAACCCATAATGGTAAAGAAATCAGCTTATTTTAAAAACGATTACTTTATTTTTGATCTTAATTATTGAAAAATATTGATTGCATTTGAAATGATGCAGTCATTGATATAATTAAACAAAAAATCCATATAACTCTAAACTTATTCATTTATTATAAATATATTATCACTTAAATCGAATAATTTTCTTTGTGAAACTATTTTTATTATTTTTTTACTTTAGTTTTTATTATTTTAGTTTGCATATTATTGTTATTAATAAAGTCATCTTTTCTGATAGAATAAAACAACAAAATAAAAACGTTTCATGATGATTTTTTTAATTTGTTTTCTTACAAATATATAACATTTCATTTACCTTGACCAAACTTTGTATAAGCTACTTGTGTTGACCCTTTATTCCCCTTTTCATATTACTTTTTTTATGATAAAGAGTTATCTAAAACTTATTAAGTTGATGTTGACTTTATTATTCCCTAATTTGATACTTTATCTAACCAATGAAATTACATTATCATTAAACTCAAAATTATTGTGCAACTGCTTAATATCTGTGTTTTTGAAAAGCCATAATTCTTTAATTGTTTTTTTATTTGTGTTAATAAAATTATCTCTTGATTTTTCTTATATTTTAACTTATTCACTTTTTTAACTATTGTTTAATGCTTGCTTTAATTATTGCTGTTATTATTGTCAAATATTTTGGTTTCTCTGCCCATTAAAATTAAACTTTAAAAAATTTAAAGCAAACATTACTATATGCACCATTATTATATTATGTGTAGCTATATTATTATGTTCTATTTTCTCCTTATATTTAAGAAATTTTTTTGAATATTCTAAAAAAAATAACAATTATGTAGAAAAATATGTACCAAAATCAATCAAGAATTTTATGACTTGTTCACTAGACTTGTTAAAGTTTTTTGTACTAGCTAATGTGTAATTGTGTAGAAGAAAATTAAAGCAAAGTACAATTGTTGCTGAGAACTGTCCATTGACTCTAAATAAAAAATTTACAAAAAAACCTTATACGTTTTCTTTTTTCATTTGTAAACTACTTTTTCATTACTATTGATCTGCTGGGAAATATGATTACTATGTTAAAATAAGTTATGAAAATAATTGTCCGATAATCTTTCTAGAGAGTTTTTTTAAAAACATAGTCAAGAGCCACTTTCTTTAAAAATTGAACAAATTGGGCAAAGTTGGATATTTGTCAATATAGATTTCGTTGAACATATTCTTTGTGTAAAACTATTAGACAAATCTATATTTTTTAATTTTGCAGAGAAAAAAATTCTGAAGGTTTTGGGGATCAAAATTGAAGATCCTCTGGAATTCTAAGAAAAACACATCTATTCCATGTGATAACACCTTTTGTGATTTAAGTGAACTATGACTCTGACAATTAATTTGCGATCTACTAACTATTAAAACATAAATACTTTCGGTGAACCATTGGATCGAAGATCATTCAAAAATCTTCGAAACAACGCTATTTTTCTTAGATTTTGATGTTCAAAATTTACTTGTGCCAACAGTGAACGACAAAGATATAGATTTATGCAAAAATATACTAATGAGTAATATGTAAAAAAAATAGCCATGTGTGTGGTATGCATTTGGCATGATCTAAAAGTAGCAAGAAACTGAAATTTTGCACAACTTTCTAGGTCATTAATTCCCTTCGCCAAAACTAGACAATTTTGAAATTTGCTGGAAAAGAAGCCTTAAGTATAGCAAAAGCACATTCTATTCACTGATATATGGTTACTGATTCAACTTTTTATAATGTGCCCCTAAAATGTTAGACTCTTACTTGAGTAATTGATTGCAAAAATAATTATGGGAAAGCTGTAGATTAATTTAAAAATGTGATTTACGTCCAATATGAATATCTGAAGTTAACAACACCCCCCCCCCCAAAGTGAGCATTAGCCTTTATCTAGAATTTGCAGTAGGGGGGGGGTAAATTTACTCTCTGCTACCTAGGCAAGAGACATATAATGTTTCTGATGTAGTTATATTATGCTGAATCGCATGAAATCACTGTTAAGAAGTTGCTTAAGTTTTATATAGAAAAAGAGCAGATTCTGATTCCTTTATGAGTCTGACTCTGCTATCCAAGCAAATGAGATTTTGACTCTAATGTACTTTTTAAGCAATCAATTGAAATACTTCAGTTAACTTTAAAAGTTACTGAAGATCTGCATAGAGAAAATTCCGTTACGTTCTTTTTTTGCACTTTTTTACTTGTAACTTTAAACTAAATTTCATCTTTGATTTTCTGTGAATAATTTTTCTTGCAATCTTTTTTTTTTTTTTTTTTAAGTCATTAGTAAAATAAATATCTTATTAGGAAAACCTGCTTATGCATATTTCTTTGAATATCGTGGAAGAATTTAAACATTTTATACGCTATTAGAATTGTTAAATTTGTACACCTTTGTTTGTGATGCACCATGCTTATTTAATTTTTTTCATGCTGTTACTGAAAAAAAAATTTACTTTTTAAAATATGTTGCTGTTGTTGTTTATTTACGTCGCACTAGAGCTGCACAATGGGCTATTGGCGATGGTCTGGGAAGCATCCCTGAGGATGATCCGAAGACATGGCATCGCAGTTTTAATCCTCTGCAGAGGGTATGGCTCTCCAGCTTCGGTAGCCCGACGACCAGCGCTCGAAGTCGGGCACTTTGCGGTAGCACAGTTTAACGAGGACCAATACCGCACACCCTCGGTCCCTACGCAGACTGATCCAAGTGGTCACCCACCCGCACACTGACAGTAGCCAGTGATGCTTGACTTCGGTGATCTGCTGGGAACCGTGTCTTAACGATCAGTCCACTGCGGGACTGATATTTGTTGAAGATCGTGATCCTTTTTTCCCCGTTTTAAAATTTTCTCTTTTTGTTAACCAATAACACGTGATCAAACATACAATCCAATAAAGCGAATTGATAAACCCATTTAAGCGAAAATCGTTGCCTTAACTTAGCAAAAATCAGCAGCCAAAAGCGTACTAAATAATCAATCATCAATATCAACTGCCTTTTTGATTGTTTATTTAGATCTTCTATGATTTAGATTTTGTTATGAATTCGGATTGCGATCACCATTTTCTATTTAATATGCTGGGTATGATTAAAATAACAATGCTTTTTGATCTTCAAATAATTTGAAAAGTTAACACTGATACAGAAATCTTCCCTGAACACCATTAAAGTGGTATTGATTACTTTAAGCTTATATAGTTTAAAATCTTTTAAAATTTTATTTATTGAAATAGGAAGTGTTGTATTCAGATAATATTTTTAGATTTATTATAGAATGTCTCTTAGTAAATTTATTTATTTAGTTTTAAATTAAATTCGATTATTAAAATATGAACGTTTTCAAGTTATTGGATCAGTTTTCTGACTTAGTAATTTTTGGCACTCATTCTGAGATGTTCTGCCGATACTGTTCGAATAAAGACAAACAGTTGAATTGATTTTAATCTTAGAAAAATAGTGGTGATTTTCTTATAGCAGTAGAGACAAAAATAATATATAAGAGAGGAAATTTACATTTCAAAAGTTGAAGGAATTTAGAGCGAGCTCCAGTAGCTCCGTGTCGCGGAACTGACCCAATTATTGCGTAATTCGATAAGCAATTTTCAAAATAAACATTTGATCCATGGATTTTTTTTTTAAATTTCTCAACTCGGTACCCTATTTTATTTTTGTCATATTTTAACATTTCTTCCTAAAATTCGGCTGTTTTCTCATTTTTTAATATCAATAAAATGCTTTATATGCATAATATCAAATCTAGTCTCTTTAATCAGCAGTTTGCTTAATTCTAAAAACTTTTCCATTATAATCTTTTTTTCTATCTAAAGTTACAGCTCTTTTCGGTTAGCCAGAAAACCAAAAAATAAAAACCTCTGCCAACTTTTTATTTTATATTTTTAAACATATAAAAATTAAATAAAATCAGAAAATGAAATAAATTTAAAAAAAACTTTATTTAATTTATTTTGAATATATTTAATTTTAAACATATAAAAATTAACTTAAATAAGAGAAACTTCAATTAAATTAAAGAAAATAATAAAATAATTGAGTTTTACTCGTACCTCGCTAACTGAAAAACCAAAATTACTTATCTTCTGGACAATTATATATCTTCAGGCTCACATAGATTTATTTTCTCAAAGTTTGTGTTGTAGTCTTAGTTCAGCAACCACCTATAAATTTCTATTATTTTATTGTTCTGTCTGATGTTTCTATAAAGTATTTTTGTCATAAATCTGCTTTTTTTTTCTCTTCTCCTTATTTAATTTATTTTTTTCTTTATGGCATCTATATCTTCAAGACGTGCAACTGTTAGTTTGAAGTATTTTTGAATATATTTTATTAAGTATCATGCAAATCTAAAGGTTTACCAGTTATATCATATGAAGTTATGCAATGTTATGTATTGTGTATAACCTATCAAAACAAGGCATAGTATTTGCTGTTTTGTTTAAAATTAAAATAGGAAAACACTGATAAGTACCCTCTAAAACCTTATGGGGGAAAAAAAACTTAAATAAAATATTTTTTTTTTGCTTGAAAGCAATTTTTTTTTACTATAATGGTATAAGCAAAAATTTCTGAAATGTTATCTAAAACTCTTAATTCTCTTTTAAGCTATAGAAATATTGCAATTTCCTTTACAAAGGTTGCTTAATTTTAATGAAATATTGAGATATAGATTGATGAGTATAGTTATTATTTTTAACTAAAATTTTTAAAATTATTTTTTAATTATTACAAACTAAACTCTTAATAAATAAAGATAATGGTTATTTTTGTTTAAAGCTAAACATTCTTAAATTTTAAAGACAGAGCAGCAATTTATCCATTAGATATCTAATAAAGAGTAAATTAGTTTAGGTGAGAATACATTAAAGTTAAAAAATTATTCTAAGTTTTTCTGGATAAAATAAGTCTTTCTTCCTTTTTGGTAAACACTAACTACATATTAAATAAGTTTTAAAAGCACTTGTACTGAAATAAACATATAATTAAATGGGTATAACTGAAATAGTTTATTATTAGTTTATTATTTTACTCACAGCTAATGGAAAATTATAATTTCAAAATTTCGCACCACTTTTAGTCTCTTTTGAAATATAATAATTAACATACATCGCCTTTCATTATTTCTTTAGATAAAACCTTCGTTATCAAGGAAATTTGATTTAAACCACTGCTTAAAGAATTTATTTATAAATAAAATTAATTAATATTTTTGGCTTAATGATTTATTTTTAAAAAATCAATTGGTTTAAATCAAGGATATTTTTATTAAAAATTGCAGTTGATTTAAATCAATGATTTTTTTAACAAAAATTCAAATAATTTAAATTAGAAGTGAAATCATGCAAACAGTGCTTAGTTATATAGTCATATTCATAAAGAAGTGGCAAAAAGAGAAAATTATTGTAGTTGTAGTTCTCTCTAGATCAGCAGTTCTCAAATGGTGTTACTTAGGGTTCCGTGGAAGAGTTCAGAGGTTCCAAGAGTTAGGATTGTTTCTTCTCTAACTTACAACGATTTTAGAACTTTTAATTATTTTTAAATCTAATCAATAAGCCATTATTTATTTAATATTTTGGTTACGTTTATGAAATGTTTCAAACTGAAATGCCAATGTAAAAGAAATAGCACTTTTTTTTAAAAAATTATAATTATTTTAATAACAATTTGGATAAATTATGAAGAAGGCATGCATTTAAAAAAAATTGTATTTGTATTTCCAAGTGGACTTTTCAAATCTTACTAAATTTTCTAATAAAGAAATATGTTTCCCTAATTACCATTTTCAACTTTTATAGCAATTCTTTTTAGTTTTCATTCCGGAGAAAACCATAATTTGGCTCATTTTCTTTTTCTTTTTTTCATTTTCAATTTATGTATATAGGACCAAAAACAAAATCAGTACTAGACTAGACAAATCTCCAGGACTGGGAATTTAGCTGTAAGACATAATATCTGATTTAAGATTCTTAATTATAAAACAATAGAACAAATTCAGTCACCTTATTAAATCATCTTAAAACAAAATACCATAATTATTAGTGAATACTTTCGCATTTATCTGTATATACTTGTTTTATAAAATCACGGTTCTGATAAATGAAATTTGATCTTTTAAGATTCTATTGCCAAAACAAAATTGGGAACCGCTGCTCTAGATGGTGATGATCAGGATTGGGGTTTTTCGATGACAGTTACCATAAACTAGTTACAGCTATCAAAAATTGGTTTAAACCATCAAACACATAGAATAATAATCACAAAAACATAATATGTGACGGAAGTTTTTTCCATTGTATTAAAGGTATTAAATTACTATGAATATATACAAACATCTATATACGCTAATAATAATTTTTTTCTATTTTTAAAATATCTTCTTTAAAACAACATTGCTACTATAGAGATTCCAGCACATTTTTTGTCATATATTGGTCTATGAATATAATAAGCTGGTTATTTTTTCATTACATTTTCTTTTCAATGCTTATTAAATTGCAAAAAATTTTAAAAAGCCGTATTTAATGTTCTATCACAAATACTAACTGCAATGCACTATTTTAAAACATGAAAAATATAATTTATTGGAACATATAAATGCAGTTTTTTAGATTGGAGCTTTTGAATTTTTTGAGGTTACTGTTTTATCCTCAGGTAAAATCATCAAAAACTGACACCTGTCAGAATTTAAGGAGCCTTGTGTTGATATAACTGTTTACGAAAAGATCAATGTGAGCATTGCTTTTTATTAAGACACTTTCTTAATTCTATTTATTTTATGTGCACTTTAATTTCTCATTCATTGCAAATTTAGATTTTAATCTTTTTTTATAGTTAAAATTATTGTTAGGTAAATGTATATTGTTGTTTTGAAATTTATTATTAATACTATAATTACCTTATAATTTTTATTTTAATAGAATTTTCAAATATTGCATCTTTTTTCTTTTCCTTCCAGAGATGTGTAGATACTTTACTGCCTATAGCTGCTTAATAATTTTCACTAACTGTTGGATTTTTGTGAATATGTTCACATACAACTGCATTCATGATGATATCACCCTTCATAACAAAACACCTGGTTACTTTAACTACAAAAAGTTAAGGAAAAAGCGAGAAAGTAATGAAATATTATTTGAACCACTGAGCATTTATTTTCATATTGATGATGTGGGAAAAGTACTACCAAGTGATGTCTATTTTTACATTGATGTTGCTTTATATCGAGTAGCACAATTTTTATCAAAAACAATTAAAGGTAAATTCTATTTGCTTAATCTACATTGTCATGTCTTAAATAAAGGTTTTTTTCTGTTAGCTGAGTACCAGACAAAGATCTGTGCTGAAATGGTGACTAAGTCTTAAGGACGATTTAGTAGTGGTTCACAAAAAACTTTTTTTAACAATATATCGCAGAAAGGGCCAAACTCGACAGGTTAATATCATAGTCCCCTCTGGACAGGGCCACTTATATATTTTTTAATTAATATTAAAACTGCACAAACCGAAAGCAGCACTTTACCCTTTTGGCAATCGGAGTGATCAGGTTCTTATGCGGGAACTGGGGTAAAATATTATGGTATCCAATGTGTGGAAAGTATTAGTTATTAACTATTTTATTCAAAAACAAATGAGAAGTAGATTAATTAACATGCTTATAAATATACATGCATTTATTATACTTATGTATTCAAATAAATAAAAATTAACATTCTTAAATATTAAAGCAGGCAAATCCTAATGATCATACTATGGCATATGATTAACAAATTTGATGCATAATATTAATGAATATGTTGATGTACCATTTAGAGATTAAAATGTTTGTTATTTTAAATAGATGATCAACATTATATTATACATAACATTAACAAACATCTAATTGTTTTTTTTCCCAGAATGTTAATTATTTTCAAACTAATTAATTCTGCAGTCACAGTGTTCTTCGTACTATACATTTAAGCATGTTTTAATTTTTTATTTATGTATATTTTTAATTTTATATGATAAGATCAAGAGTTTATCAGCAATAAATTCATGTCATTCTCTACTTTAGTTTTATTTAGCCGACTTAGCATTTTTGACACCTAAGATGTCTTTTAGCTTGTTTTTTTTTCTTACTAAAAAAAAGAATTATTTTCCCCCTTATATAGTGTGAGAGTTTTGCATTGAAGAGAAATTTCTATACTAATTTGCCTAAAAGTAAAACTCTTGATCAGTTAAAAATAAAATTTCTAAAAAATATTTTCATTTAAACTTTTTAAAACTTAACTCTATAAAAAAAATTTTTAATAAAAAATATGCTTGTTGTAAATAAAGTTATTTTTAAACTATCATTTTTTATAAATTTAATGCTTTGACCCTTATTGTACCATCAATAAGTACAAACGTAGAACACCATATGATATTTACATCAAATTGAATGTGACGCATGAAACTCTAGTGTCTAATAACAAGGGCCAAAAATGGCCCTTGAGCTCTCTGAATCTTAATGTATTGGATTATTTGACGTGGGCTATGTGTTATCAAAACTAAATGGTGTTATATGCCCAAATTTGAACTGATTTTGGAATGTCATAAAGGGAATGTGGAAAGAAATATTTATGGAATATTTCTATGCTGCTCAAGTTTTCTATGCTGCTCAAGTTCTATGCTCACTAGTTTTGAGAAATGCTAAAACTTGCAAAAAAGTTAATAGGTGGTATTATCTCAACCCTTAATGCTATAATTTTGAATATAATGCTATTTTTTTTCTTTTTTTTTTTTTTGCTATAAATAAAATCAATTGCTTTTAAAACCACAACTCAGAATTTTTTTGCTTGAAACTGTATGAGAACTTATGATACTCTCTGTATAATTTGTTTTGTCTAATATTTCATATTGCCTTGCATATCATTTCTAAGCATCTATGTAGCATTTTGTAACATGTAACAGTTAGCAGATTTAACAGTTATTTCTTATAAAGATTAAGAAGTAGATCATCTAAAATTCTCTAAAAAAACATTCGATTCAGAGATAAATAGAAATGGCATTTTATTTAGGTGTTTCTTAATTATTTTTGGTTCATGGTTTAAATTAAATGATTATTCTATTATATTTTTAAAAAATATTAGTAAAAATATTTTTTTTCTATCAAAACTAATGTTATTTCTTTAAAACTTTCACACTCAACAAAAATATAACTTTGGAAGTATTTTATTAAAAAAAATTTTTTTTACCTGTCTTCATAAATAAATTATTTCTATGCTTATAACCAGTTTACATATCATATATTTAATTTCTATTTATTGTCAAAAATTTTACTGCTCTTTTTTATTATATATTGACGTGAAAGTATTTATAGCTTCTAAAATATTTGTGTTCTTTTTAGTTAAGCATAGTATGAATCCTTTTGTACTTGAACGCACAAGTTGCTCACAGATATGGAGGGAAGGCTTGAATAAAGGAAAGTATGTTGCATTTTTGTTTTGAAACTGCTATTATCATTTACAAAATTTTTAATTTATTTATATGCCTTTAATTTATTTGTATTTATTTATTTTATTTATTTCTCTCATTGTTTAAAAGTTGCAGAATTACGTGTTGGAAAGACTATCTGTTCTTCTACAGAACTTAAAATGATTTTATTGTTTTTCATATTTTAAACTATATTTGATGATTAATTAATTAGTTTTGTAAGGAAAAATTATTTTTTATTTATTTAAAAGGAAAAAAAAATTTCTTTTAATTATTTTAAAATACTTTTAGAAATATATATTAATTTTAAAGTATTTAGCATGTGTTACTTTATTCAAGTAATTTTTTTCCTATATATTTAAATTTGACATATTTAAATTCAGGAAAATATTTTATTATTGAGTTGCCAAATGTTGCTATATACTTATTATAAACTCTATAAAAATCATTCATTATAAATCATTCATGTAATTTTTTATAGTATTAAAATAAAATGTATAGATTTTTCAATTATACTAATAAGGTTATGCTGTTTTTATAAATTATGAATGGGATATTTTGATATAAAATTAGGTCACACAACTTCTCTTAAAATGCTTTCTTTTTTTTTTCTCACTAGTTTTGGATCCAGCTTTTCTCAAGTATCTAATATAAAGTATTAAAAAATAATAAGTTTTTTCCTTTTAAAACACATTTAAAAAAAAATTGTTATGGGGAAAAATTTTTTATTAGTTGTTATTATTTTTATTAAGAAATACAGTTGAATCAGAAAGTAATAATTTTTAATGTTCATAATGAATTTTTAATGATTTTTTTTAATTTTAATGAACATTAAAAATTATGTTTAAGCATAATAATTTTTATTGTTCAAAGAGCTGGCTTATGTATTTCTCTTTTTTTAAAAAGTTCTGTTATTATGTGTTTTTTCCTTCAAGCTACTGTATGAAACAAAGTTCAAATAAAGTACAATCTAATCTTCTAAGAGTTCATAAGAAGTATGAGAACAAGTGTTATTGTTTTGGTATGAAGGTGATGTTTTAACATGATAAACAAAACTAAGTACTATTTTACTTTAGAATATGAAATAGTATTTTGATATCTATTTGTTTATTTTAAATTTTTGTTTTGTTTTAGATGTTCTCGAATGAGATCTCGTCCAGAATTTTGCTCTTCTAAAGATACTGATTTTATGGTAGTTATTTTCTATCTAATAATAATTTTTTTTGTTTTTTTCTTCTTATTATTATTATTGCTTTATAATGTTTTACTGAGGGGGAAAAAGACTTAAAGAATATCAAGAAATAACTTAGAACCAATCAATTTGAGTAAGACGCTTAAGAAAAAATTGAATCTAGAGGTCACAAGGCTCTTTAATTTTGAAAGTCAAAAGTTTGATCTTGTTATACATTGTTAGAAAGGATTTACAAGATTTCATTGAAATTCAATATATGCATTTTAAGCATATATTGAATTTCAATGAAATATGCGTAGTATTTTGCTCTTTGCATGAGTATTTTGCACTTTGTAATGATGTTTAGTGGTATCAGATATTTCATCCCAACTGAAAGACTCATGAAACTAAATAATGTAAATCAATATATTTTTATTAGATGAATATAGTTAAGTGAGTTAGCTTCATATATTGCCCATAGACTACTGGTATTGTAATTAACAGTATTGTTTCAATAAACATAATTTTAAAAAAAAAAAATAAACAGTCCATTTTATTACAGCCTTCACGCTTGTATGTTTGATATTTTCTTAAGACTTACTATTGATTGGTTAATTGTTCATGTTTTAATTTTGCAAATAGTTTAAATTAAAATATTATCTATACACTAGTCGTTATTCCAAAAAAGGTTGTGACTTCTAAAAATTTTGTCAATTGAGATTTTTTTTATCAGTATGGCATCTTTTCTGTATTAAATTTTTAAATTTTTTTTATTTTAATCAATTTTTTTTTCAGTATTTTTACTCTTTCCTCTTTAATTTGTATATTTCTTTTTTATTTCTAGATACCTGATAAATATTTAGATAAATTAGAAATTTACAACAACATTGATTCTGATCCTGTATCTATTATTAGCAAAGGTAGTGGTGTTAAAAATAAAAATTTGATAGTTTTTGTTGTCAGTAAAACTACGTCATGGTGTCAAAATACTGTAAGTACTAAATTTTTGTCTCCAAACTTAGCATCTTTTTTCGATACATTTTATGTTTTTTCCCACTTTAATTTATAGAAGGATTAGAATTTAAAATTTTCTTACTTGATTACATAATTTTATATAATAAGATTAAATAAGTCCTTTCTTTTGAAAATGTAATAACATGGTGCGTTGTGTAGCATTTTTAAGAAGTTCTTAAAGGTGCTTATTTTTGATTTACATTTTTTGAAAGCCTTTTAAGGTGCTTTTTTTAGTCGGGGTTTGAGAAAAGTGCTTAATTTTTTACCTTTTAAAAAGAAATTTTTTCTTTGTCATGTCGATTGTCATTATAAATTACAAAAAAAATTCATGATTTTCACAATTTTCTCTGCAATATTTATCAGAAACTAGTTGTTTTTATCATGATTATGTAAAGTTTTTGAAAATGTTTTTGAATTTTATTGATTTTATGATTATAAAATAAAGAATTTTAAACGAATTTAAGTGAATTTAAGAATTTTAAAGAATTTTAAAATATTTTTTGAGTGCTTAAAAAGTACTTAAAAGGTGCTTATTTTTTGTTGAAAAATCTGGCTGCGCACCCTGAATGATAGATTAAAATCAAAGATTATGGACTTGTCTTTTGTGATCATATTTTTTATAAACTATATAATTATTCAAATTTTACTAACTTTATCGTTTTTAACATTTTAATTCGATATTTATTTTTAATGTAGTTTATGGTTTTGTTTTTCTTCTTTATTGACCTTTGAATACTTTTTATAGCATGTCCAAGCATATGGAACTTATTGCCGATTGGATGAAAGTAACAGACCTGTGGCTGGATTATTGAATCTCTGTCCTGAAAATCTTTCTAAATCATTGTACAAATTTGATCATTATCTCAATGTAAGTCAGTAATCATTTCGTAACTTTGTATTTTGAGCTCACAGAAATTTTTCTATTTATAAATTTTATTCATTATAAATTTTTTGACAATGTTTTTAACTTATTTTAATGTTTAAGGATTGTTAGTTTTTTTTTCTGTGTGAGCAAACTAGTCTGTAATAAAATTTATAACATGTTAATTAGAATATTAATTCAAATATTCTTTTATAAAATTATAATTATTTCTTTAATATAATTAACAGTGCCAAAAAGCACTTCTTTACACTTAAACTATAATTTTTTAGTTAATCTGCGGCAAGTGCTATAGTTTTGTTATGGTAATAGATTGCTATAAATTTTCTTTAACTTTGTTATTTAAACCTGCTGTGTCTGTTTTTCTGAAACTCAGCCTCCATCATATTAAACAACATTTGATGCAATTTTATCCCCGAAGAAAATATATTTCGAGATTTATTCCTTTGTGTCTTCACAAGATTTTTGAAAACTCTCTTTCAATACAAAAGTATGCTTTTTATCAAAAATATGCTATTTTTATCATTTTTGTGAGTTTTTAATAAGTATTCATGGCTATTACGTTAGATTTAGTTCATTTAGGATTTATTCATTTGTGTCTTCACAAGATTTTTGAAGACTCTCTTTCAATAAAAAAGTATTCTTTTTATCAAATAATATGTTATTTTTATAATTTTTGTGAGTTTTCAATAAGTATTCCATTTTGTCCATTTTCAGGTAGGGCCCATTGCAGAAGAAAGCTACAGTTTTGCTAAAATGAAAAATATTTTTGATCTTGCTTTTAAAAAATTGAAAATTCGTTTTAATGCTACATTGTTTATACACGTAAAAAATTGCAAAAGTTGAGATTATTCATTGATTTTAAGCGAAAAAAATCTTGCCAAATCGGTAATTTTTTTTTAAAAAAAAAGTTTTAATAACTTTTTAAACATGTAAATTTTTGATCTGCTTCAAAGTCCAGATAATTCTTTATTACAAAATAATGTATATAAATTTCTGTGAAATTGTAATTGTTTTTATCCTCAATGGTTAGAATTTTGAATTTTAAGAATGTACACGCAATAAATTTGGATGTTTATGTATCTGCAGTTGTAAAAAGATATTTTTTGTGACTTAAAGCTTCTCTTGAAATGCTATTTCTATTGATTTATTATTCAAAAAAGAACCTCTCTTATTTCACAGATTATCACACATGAGATGTTTCATATCCTTGGCTTCTCAAAACATCTCTATCCAAAATTTAAAACTTGCTCTTCAAGTAAGTATATGAATTATTAGCATCTTCTTGAGCAAAATAAAGCTTTAATTTTTAATTATTGCAATATATAATTGTATACAGGTTGGTTATAAAATAACTTTTTCCCTATATTTGATACCCTATCGACCTATCCACTTATCATTTATAAATAAAATCTCAGATAATGTTATTTAAAGGTATTGGGCTAAGGTAGTGATGATTTCTTGCAATAGAACTCTCATGGTTGCAATTAGTTAGAGTGAACAAATTTTGAAAGTTTTAAATAGTAACATCCACTTTTTTTGTTGAAGCATGAGTCTCGCAATAAAAGACCAAAAAACGGACTATTGGATAATTTTAGCATAAAAAATACAACGAAAAAAAACAAACAACATACAAATCACTGTATTTTCTTCTTTCCAATCATTGTCGAAATGTAGTCAATAGAATTGCTAACATACAACATCTTCTCTGTTGAAAGCATCTGAAATACTCTTTGCCGTTTTTTACACTAGAAAAGTATGGTTCCAACTTCATTTTATGCTTTTGACTTTGATGATCATGCTTCAATGAAAAACGAGAGTGGTGCTAATTGAAATTGTCAAAATATGTTCACTGTAACCGTTAATGTATGAATTTCATTGTTATAAATCAGCCTGGGCCCCCCTTAAAATGGATTTTTTGAAAATAAATTTTAAAAAATTAAGAAAAATAATGATTTTTCAAATTTTTTCAAAATTTTATGATTATTTTTTAGTTCTAATTTAATAAAATTAAGTAAAATTTAATATATTATTAGTTATTTTTATTTTAAATATGCTTTTTTAAATGAAAAGATATATAAATACTTTTATATTTGAATAAGTAAAAAAATATACAAGAAAAAAATTTATCTTAAGGCCCCAAAAATTTGAATGACCTAGGCCCCCGCGTACGCTTCATCCAGCCATGTCTAGCCCATATAAACAAATAACACTCTGAATTTTCAATTATATTGGTTAAACAGATAAGCTGCTTGGTGTTACTATTTTTTTTTCTTGAAATTTTATCAATTTAATTATTGTGCATTATAATTTTTAAGTATTATAACTGTTAAGAGTATGAAGGGTCTGTTGGGACAGAACATGCTATTTTGAAATCTAACCTAGTGAAAATTTAGTTTGTTTTCAAATTTTACTTATTTTTCCAAAATAATTAATGTATTTTAATAGTACATCGTAAAACTTTTCAATAATGTTGATAAATAGTGCTTAACATTTATGTTAAATTATTAATTTGAAAAATAAATAAGCAATAATACTACTTTGATAATATTATAAAGGGCTATCTTTCTGCAATAGTTAGGATTGACTAAATCTAAAATGAGTATCATGTTATATATATTTCATTTATAACAATGTTTTTGCTTAATGCTTAATATTTTTGGTGTCTATCAATAAAGGAATTGTTAAATCACAACTTAAGTGTCTCCAGATTAAAATATTTAATTTAATTAAATGAACACATGGGTCAAAATATTTTTTTAGTAATTCAATAATATTTTTTGTGTCTACTAAAGTTATAGCCACCAGAACGTTTTTGTGCCCCAGTTTTGTGATACTGAAGACAGCGCCCTTCAAACTCAATTTTGGAGGGGGGAAATCTGAATTTTTTTATAAAAAAATAATAACTTGAATTGCTTTTCCGGTGTAGTCATAACATTGTTGAAAATAACTTTTTTTATTCTACATCTTTTTCTTATATCAACGAGATAAATAACAATGACACATTTTAGGCCAAAAAAGAAAGCCGTTATTTTAATTAATGAGAATATCACCTCAAGTATTCTGGAATAAATATTTATTACATATTATATTTTTATTGAGCATAAATCTTATAAAAATATATAAGAAATATTAAAATTTCTTTTTTCGTGCTGTAGCAATGGCAAACAAGACTGTTCAAAATCAATTATTTTCACCGTTTTATTTTCGATAAGAAATATTGTCGTTTTTGCATTCAACATATCGTTATTTTGTTAAAAATTATTTTTTAAAATGAAGAATAATAGTATATAGAAGAATAATATTTAGTCAACTGTCATCCGATAATTTACTGTCATGTACCGACATTTACTGTCATGTACTGTACCGACATTTGCTGTCAAGTCTATTTTTAATTAGAAAATTAATTCCTATTATTTCATATTAGTGCAAAAAATAATAGTACGTTTAATAATTTAAACTATGCAACAGAATTTTTTTAAATACATTCATTTTTTGAAACGTATTACAAAAAAGAAAATTATTTTTAAATAAAAAAAACCACAGCAAAAAAAGACCATATATCGTAAAATAATGAATGACACATCAAGATATAGTGTTGAAAAAAGTCATTCTTTAATTTTCTTTTTTTGTCTTTGACTAAAAAGTAAATGAAAGTGATATAAAAAAATGTTTTAATTGTGAACCTATATTCCAAAGGGATGTTTTTTTTTTTTTTTTTTTGAATCTCTCCTTTTTTTCATAAAATTAACAAGACATGACACATTAAATTAAAAAGAATGAATGAAGAGTTAACATGGTCATTCTCTGAATGCCCTACCTCCCAGTTTTTGTCTGGCATTCTCACTCTTTGAGAATATTGCACAAAACTTACAGCCCATCTCACCCCTTGGAAAATGCATAACTCTTTATATTCAATGACAAATAAGTAGCTATTCTACTGCATGCTGTTCTACTATTCTATCTACTACTGTTCTACTATTCTATCTTTAGTAAAACTAATACTTGTTGAAATTAACCCTTATAGAAAGTTATTTTAAGACGTTATAATTAAAAAACAAAAACCTTTACATGTGTTTTTCAAGCAAACAATATTAGCAAAAAAAGGGGGAGATTAAAACATTTTAGAACATTAAATCTCAGTCTTGTTCAGCAGCCCCCAAACCTGGCGCTCTGAGTGATCACCAGCCCCTTTTGACAGCCCTGATCATTGTTAATTGAAAATTACTATTTCTGTTTTTACTGTTTCCATTTCATTTTTCAAACTTAATCTTTTCTATTCCCTATATATGCCTTAAATTGAAAGGATGGTGCTGTGTATTACATTAATGCAATTGAATTTTCAAGTGCAGTTATAAATCTTAGTTTCCACATTTCAAAAAATTAGCAATTTTTCTCTCATGATTAACTAATCTCTTGTCACACTGAAGAAAATTTTATTTGATATTTATTGTTATTTTTTTCCATAATGTTTTTTTTTCAAATCCTATTATAACACATTATTCCTATTCTTCTAGAATAAACGTCTGATATTTGATCCATTAGTATTTAGTAACCAGACTCTAAACACCTTTACATTCTTTATTTCAGGGAAAATAATTTAAATGGAAATTATGTAAATTATTTTCACTTGTTGAAACTGCTTTTGATATTTTATTTCTTTGAATTAATTTATGTATTATAATTTAGGATTTGACTGCCAAGTTCCAAAACAAATTGTAAGCATTGATAAATTTGGAATTCAACGTCTAATATTTCCGGAAGTTGTAGAACATATGCAACTCCATTTTAATTGTTCTGACTCAGAATTTGGTGGTCCATTAGAAAACATGCCTGCTGAAGGATTTCAAAATGTTAGTATGTCTTCAAATATGCTTTTAGTTTAATATTTATAAAAAAATTGCTTTCAAACTTTTTAAAAAATGTGTCACATTTTTTTTCAAAAAAAAATAAGTCTTGTAAAATTGTTAGCAGTTATCTTATTTTTAAAAACAAAAATGAGTTTTATTGTTGGTTTTTGACATGATCATTTTGTTAGTGCTTTCTCTTACATATTTGGTCATTTTAGTTTGTGACACATACTTTTCCGCAGTTAATAATATTCATAAAGGTATAAACAAGAAAAACATTGACTTGTAATCCATGCATTTTCTTCAAAGATCAATTATTTTATTGATTAATAAAACCACTGTATTAGTTAATAAAATCAATATCTGTATCAAATATTTTCCAGCAAAAAAATAGCCTTCATTCTATAAAAAGCAATTAAATATAGAAATAAAAAAAAGTAAATTAAAACAAGGTTTCTTTTTTTTTCTCTCATTAGGATAAGAAGAGAAAATAACAATGAATGCATATATATACGTCTCCATACATCGTAAAGTTAAATAAAATATTAAAGATTTTTAAAAACTGAAAATGAGAAAGCATAAAATTATGTAGAATCTTCAAGTTTAATATTGAGAACCTCAAATACACTGAGATGCTGTGGTAGAGTTAAGGCATTGAGCCATTATTGTGAAGTATCAGATTCTTCGCCACAGTGATGGCTTGAAGTCCACCATTTATAAGCGGTTTTATGATGTATGAGTTTCAAATAATATTTTACATTATGCATTTCTGATCTAATAGTATCCAATTACTCAAGTGTTGTAAGGAAAATTTAATAATTAAACTTAATTAAGGTTTTAATCATTATCATATTAAAATGCATTGATAATATTAGAAAATTTATTTTCTTTGACATTCACTTGGAAATGTCAGCTGGGTGCATACTGTTTATCAAAGAGTAGCAAAGGTTTGCATTTGCTTGGTTCGGCTATTAATATGTATTCATAAAGCATTAACAATATTTTTGTTTACAAATCTGTTTCATTAATTATTGTTGAATTTCAGGAATATACGTCACATTGGCATCCACTTCTAATGTATAGTAGTATTATGACTCCTTCAATACAACAGGTATAGTTTCACTCTTAAATATGGTAAGAAATTGATGTAATACTTTTACGACAAAAAAGTATATTTCCAGCTATTAAATGTATTTATTTTATAGTCTAAGTATTTTAGTGATATTGGTGTGAAACGCATAGAATATTTATTAAAACTTTAAAATGAAATTAACTACTGTGGGAGAATGAAAGAAAGAAAAAGTGAGCTGCGTAGGTAAAAGTTAAGATAAAAAGAGAATCAAAAACAAAAAAAGCATAAAATGGAAGAAAGAAGAGTAATGGTAAAAAGAAAGCAGAAAATAAATAAAAAATTAAGTCGCATAAATAAACAAGTTTTTCAAAACAATAAAAAAAAATAGAAAATTGTTTTGTTTTTTTCATTTATAATATTGTTCTTATTCATAAATTTTTTTATTTTTTTTTAAATATTTAATACAGAATTGCAATAATGTTGAAAATAATCTTTCTTGAGATATGAAAGTATGGCACAATTCCCAAGAATGCATGCTAATAATTTATAAGCTTTTTGATCCGTGGACATACCTTGAGTGTTCATTAATGAACATGGTCATTATAATGTTTTTAAGGTAATGATAATTAATGCCCATTATTCACTATAATATTCTTTATTCATGATCAATACATTCTACTATTGAATTATTCGTACATGATTCTACTGCTTGAAAAAACTTGTTTAAGATGTTATTTTTTTTATTCTTATGCTCTCTTTTTCTCTTTCTTTTTCCTCTCCTGTCTCTTTCTTTTCTTTTTTCCTTTATTATATTGTTTCTTTATTTTTAATTTTCCCTTATCCTTTCTGCTTCTCTTGTTGTTGACTTATTCCTTCCAATTCTTCATTCATTTTTCTTTCATTTCATTCCTTTGCCTGATAAAAGCAAAAGGTTCTCAAAATGCATAGTTGTGTTGTATGTTTTTTATTATTGTGTTTTAAGAATGTTTAATAAACATTTTGTACTGTAAATGAAAAATTATGAAAATCAATCCTCATTCTTATCTGGTCAAATTTTTTGCAGGATGACTATGTCGTTATTGACAATATCACTCTAGCATTACTTGCAAGCACAGGCTGGTATGAAATTGACTTTTCTAGAGCGCAGGCATTTATATTTGGAAAAGGTTAACTTGTTTTTCTTATTACTTAAAATTAGTTCCGTTATTCTCTAAATTTTACCTTTGTTTATTTCAGTTTGAATATTTCCCTAGTTAATTTACTCCTTATAATAAACTAAACTAAACTCAGCGGCGCGACAGCCCTTGAAGACCAAGACCTAATCTGCCCATCTCAGTTTTCTTGACCCTGGGCTGTGGGGTGCAAGAGCAGATGTTACGATCAGGTGGTCAGCCGAACGCGGAACTCCCAGTGTTTAGTTCCCAATCATGCTTGGTACTCATTTATCAACCCACTAAAGGGATGAAAGGCTGAGTCAGCCTTGCCCGGCCCGAGGATCGAACCAGGGACCCGTGCTACGACAGCGCTACCGCTCAGCCACCGGGCGTCTTTACTCCCTATAATAGATAAATTAATTAATTCCGAATTATTTAGTATTTTTTATTTATTAAAAATTAAATTTTTTACTAATTTTAAATATTGATTAAATATTGAATTATTGGCAATATTAGTATGTAATAATGTGTGTTTCAGTTTAAATGTTTTAAACTTTGCAGGTGGGGGTTGTAATTTCGGATTTGCTCAAAAATGTAATGACTCGAAATATCTTTGTGATTCAAGGTATATTATTTACTTTTTTCTAATATTTTAATGTAATATGTATATTTGTGTTTCAATGTAATATTCATGTATTAATCTAAATATAAAAAGGAAAAATATTTTTGAAACATTTTGAAGTAAATGCTTGTATTTCTATATGTATGGATTACCCAGTATTTTGGAAATGTATGAAATAATGTCATAGCCGATTTAGGTAAAAAGTAAAATTAAATTGAAAAATAATAATGATTTAAAAATATGGTAGTCTCTTCATACTAATATATATATAATATTAATAGTTGAATAATTTAAAAAAAAAATTGTTTCTTTATAAAAAGTAATATGGTGACAAAATGTGAAATGTCATGTCTTTGAACATGGGACTTACATACTTTGAAACTCAATTCAAATGAGAAATTAATAAGTTTAAAAGTAGCTGCAGAACCTTGATTTTCTTACTTGCCATACCTTGATTTACTTACTTGCCATTCCTTATTTACTGTACCGTACCAAGTTTTTAAATAAAGCAGATTTATGTGGCAATAAGATTTTTTATACAACTTCTGAATGTTGTGTTATATTTAACAACTGGTTTTTCTCAAAATTCACATTTTTTTTTATTAAATATGCTTTTAATTCATTTAATGATTAAATAACTTAACATTTTTGTAATATAATTCCACTTTGTGGAAAATGTAAAAATTTATAACTTACTAAAAATGCAAATTTCTAAAATTCAATTCTTTAACATTAAAATTAATAAGAATCACCCTAAAATGAATTATAAAATACACGTTAAACTCTTCTTTCTTTTTTTTGTATTAAAGTCAGAACTGAGTACCATTCTTGTAAAATAGCAAAGAGGATTGTAATGTGGTAATTTTTTACAAAAATTATCAACAAAAAAAAAATGATCTAATATAATTTTAAATTCATGAATTATTTTTATTAAAATTTTGGATGTTTCCTGCATTAAAAATATTTTGGACCTTTTCCATTCTGGTTTAAATCTGGAATTACAAAGTTGTTTAGTTTTTCTATGTTTTCTTAAAAAAAGGCTGTTTAGTCCCCATTAGCCTCACTACACAAGGCTAGTGTGGGCAAGCCATAGAACTAGAGTGGACAAATTTGATAACTTATTAAGTAGTCATTTATTACAACTCAGAAAAGTATATCTAATGCCAAAATAAAATTAATTCAATCTAAGCCTTATTGAAGACTATGTAGTGATATATTTGGATTAAGTTGCTAATTTGTATTAAAGCATTTCATTATATCATTATATTGAACACAAATTAATTCATTTAAAAAATTTTAATCTGTTTAATATATTTAAAAAATGTTTTGAAATTTATTTTTTAAAATCAACTTTAAATATGTTTTAAGATGCAGTCTTGGTAATTGTACCAGTAACTGGCGATCAAAATTTAGTAACTATTTCTTCTCTAGATATTTGAAAAGTGACTTTTTTAATCTTTTTATTTTTTGGAAATGAACATTATAATCTGCATAGCTATAAACAAATTTCACTCTACAGACATAAAGTTCAACATTGTTTTTGTTTGTTTTTTTCAGAAAAAAAAAAATACACTGGAACAAAGCAATAAATTCTTATTGAGTCACCATTGTCCAGTAGTTTCAATTCTAATTCTCTCTATCACATTCTCTGAAAACAACACGGGTGGCTTTCTGCATGCGTTTTTTGGTTCAGATATATTTTAGATAACTTATTTCTGCTGCATTTTTATGATCAGTTTTCATTTGATGAGGAAATCGTCCGAATGAGCAACATGAATAGTTATTGCTGAGGGCTATCTCTTTCACTGAAACAGTGTAAACAACTAGCTAAAAAAATGGACAGGACTGTTCGCTGATGTTCCAATTAATGTATGTGTGGATGTTCCTAGTTTGTGTATGATAAAAAAAATATTTACAAAATCGTTGTTTTCTTAAGTCATTATACTGAATTTCATTCTTTTAACAAGGTTGATAAAACATCTTTAAATTATTTAATTTAGATTGAAACCATTATTTATTAAGGAATATTATTTGACAAAATCATTCTAAATCGGAAAATAAATAACATTAAACGTGTTTCATTTGTAATCGACTGATATTTCTTCCATTAAATGTTGAATGAGGCCAGTGAGAAATGCCCACACTAGCCCCACGAAGACATGTGTTTATTTATGTGTAATGCTTGTTAATTGAAACTATATGAATCAAAAGTTATTATCAAAATAGACAAGAAAACATTATAATTTATCATATTAACACCTTTTGTTGAAATTTTGAAAATAAAATGTGTCAATAAAAGAGTAAATGGAAAGTTTGAATGTTGCTTTCGCACCTTAAAACCTTTTGCAAATTTGTACTAAAATATTCATAGTGTGGGTATGGAACTGCACATGGAAGTGTAGATCAGTACCGTCAATCTACAATATCTCACAGACGAAAGTTGAACTACACATAAAAGTTATTCAAGATGCCCACTTTAGCCCCTCACACCCCTAGATGTTTTCAGTTGTATTTTTTTTCTCTTTCGTTTAATATATTTTATTTTCTTCTGATATATAGTTTATTTTTTTAGCCACCAAACTGGATGTGATATAGCTTTAAAAACAATAGGAAAATGTGAGAAAATTTCCTCTGATCACCCATGTGGAGTTTATAAACCCAATCACGAAGTAAATTATTATTTTTTATTACTGCTTGGCATGACATTTACTTCTCTGCAAGCATATTGTTGAAAGTTTCAATTTATGTTAGAATTGCCCATCCTATAATATTAAGACTTAATGCATTATGTTTCTGTAGAAAACTTATGTTTGTGGGTTACTCTACAATTGTATTTTTTTTTTTCATTATAAAATTCATTAAATGAAACGTTAATGAAAGTATGAAACTTTTTTAGTCCCGCAGTGGACTGATCGTTAAGACACGGTTCCCAGCAGATCACCGAAGTCAAGCATCACTGGCTACAGTCAGTGTGCGGGTGGGTGACCACTTGGATCAGCCTGCGTAGGGACCGAGGGTGTGCGGTAGGGGTCCACGTTAAACTGTTCTACTGTAAAGTGCTCAACTTCGCGTGCAGGTCGTCGGGCTACCGAAGCAGGGGTGCCATCCCCTCTGCAGAGGATCAAAATTGCGATGGCATGTCTTCGGATCATCTTCAGGGATGTTTCCCAGACCGTCGCCAATAGCCCATTGTGCAGCTCTAGTGCGACGTAAATGAACGACAACAACAACGAAGCTTTTTTAATTTATATAGTATTACTTTAGTACAGTGAAAACTTTCAGGAGCAACCACTCTCTATTCCACAGTAAAATGGTTGTTAAGGGAGGTTGGTCATTCTTAGGTGTTACTTTCAATGACTTTAGGGGTTACTTTCAATGACTTTAGGGGTTACTTTCAATGACTTCAGGGGTTACTTCCAATGTTATCAAGTATTTTTTTAATATTGTTATTGAGTATTTATCAAGTATTGTTATCAAGTATAAATTCTAGCTAGCAATTCTAAATTTTAATGTCATTTTCTTGGTTCAGAAATGCCACTTGTGATAGCGTCATGAAATCCGGATCGATGAATAAAATTTAGCTTCAATAAAGATGACCCCTACTGATATAATTATGTGTAAAAACGAATTTACCTATTATGAATAAGAGAACTATTTTAAGTAAATAAGCTATTATGTTTTTTTTTGTTTTAGTTAGCATTTAATTTTATATCATAAAAAATAATTAGTTTACTTTATAAAAGGATAGGTTTTTTTGTTTAAGATGCTTACTTTTTTCTAAACAAATTTTTTTTTTCAAATTTAACTTATAACTCTAAAACTAAATCAATGCATCATCTTTAGTGCACTCTAACTATAACATGAGATTGTCAATCTATTTCAGCAATCATTAAAAAGAACTCTCTAAGTAAGAACCACTCACAAATATCTTGTTTTGTTTATATTTTTTATTTTGATATTTTTTCGTGCTTCCTTATTCTTTCGTGCTTCCTTATTCACCCTTTTCTGCGTTTGGTGCGGACGCTTACCTGGTCGCTGAGAGAGGTTTTGATGATCTCTCCAAAGATTTTCTTCAACACAAAGTCTACTAAAAAAATTCTCTGCCTTTCAAAAGGGGTTGTAAATAGAGGATGTCGCTACACAGAGGTGGTCTTTCCTGCAGTTTCACTGTATTCTAATCCTTATAAAAGTCTTAATAAATACAACTTCATTGTTTTCATGATAATACTTACAAGATTGTTATAGAATCAGTTCTTATTTGCAATAAAAAAATGCTATGTCTAATCTTGAGCATTTAATTTTTGGCACTGCTGCCTTATATTTATCATTAATTTATCAAACTCAATATTGTGTAAAATCAACTGCGCTTGAAATTTGTAAAGTTACAAAATAATCAAATTCTGAGGTAGATTAAAATGGTTCTTATATAAATATTAACTTTGGACAGATAGAAGTCAATTGTTGCTGAATCATCTACATTTATTAAAGAAAAGTTGTGTGATTTTTTGCCCCTCATAAAACTACTGAAAACAATAGAAATACTGCAGAATACTGAAAATAGTCATGAAACTTTTTATTATAAAACAATGTTTCACATGATATTTCTTATAACCTTATTCAAAACTTATTTAACTAGGTATATTTGCACTTAAAAATTTTCCTGGTTTAGGTCTAGATTGCTGTACAGACTTTCACAAACAAGCATTCCCTTTTTTTTCTTATCAATTTGCCATCAAGTAGGAATTGCCCTCTTTAGATAAATTGGTGCTCCCCAATATCAAGAATCACTAGTGACCTTCTTTTTTTTATTAATTGTTTTAGATCATCTTTTTTGTTTTGTTTTTTTACATCAGACATATTTTGTAGCTTCATTTGATTTTGTTAACCAAATTAATTATTATTATAAATTTCTTTTTATCTTGATTTTGCCACAATATAGCTCTTGTTCTGATGACATAAAACTGTATGTTTATTTAGTTTTGCTTTTTTTGTTGTTTAATTTAATTTTATGTATTTTAATTCAGATTAGTTGCTTAAAATTAATGGTACAGAAAGTATTTCAAGTTTACTTCTCCCACCTGGTATAATTAGAATGATTAATTATAATAATTATTAATTTCTATTAAATTAATTGTAAATATGTCGATAATAAGTAAGATAAAAATATTACAATGATTTTAACCATCATATAAGCAGTACTGGACCCAATAAGTGACATACCGCTTATATGTTGACTTTGTTTACACTGAAAGTTAATTTAAAGAAGTGCTGAATATTACTTATTTATGTTGTGTAAATTAAGTATATTTTATTTTACAAAGGTCGTTGAACACACGACTCAATTTTGAGTTTACGACTACCAATGTTCATCTCCCTAACTTTGTAATTTTAACCCAATTCAGAACACAAGGAATTAAGAGAAATTTTCCTTGGTAGAAGACTTTTTGATGGAACCGCATTTGCGTTACAGGTAGCGAAAAAATACAAGGATCTCCCAGGGTTAGCCTGTTGGTAGGTGGAACTCTAATCCATAATCCGCTGCCGCTGAGGATATTTTACATCAGCTCTGTGGTTAGTGCAAGCCGGGTGCGGAATTCATATCGACTGGCCATCATTGGGATTCGAACCCGGTTCATCTCATTGGAAGACGAATGTTTTATCCCCTGAGACACCATTTCTACATATTAAATACATTGTGAAAAACTAGTGCGCATTCTAAATATTGGAAATTTCTGTTTAGGAAAGTTGCATTGAAGATGGAGGAGAAAAACTGAGAACTGATTTGGATTTATTGGATTATAACCAACAGTGTGTAGTTCTTCAACAAAAAAATGGCTTTGTAAGGTTGCAATCAAGTTTTTTAAAAAAGTGAAATATTATTTTTATATTTTTAAACCAAACTAAATTTCCTTTTTTTTTCCGAGATTTGTTTTTATTCTTGTGCCAGACATAGTTTCTAACTCTGTTTTATTTTATTGCATTAAACTATGACTTTATTATCATTTATTTGAATGCTTGAAAGCTAATTTGATTAAACAATAGATTCAACCAAGATTTCGCTTAGCAACTTAATTTTCCAGAATAACGAATTTTGTGAGAAATAATGAACTCAATTCTTTCTTAACTTCTTCTTTGCTTTGTAAATATATGTATAAAACAAAGAAAAAAACATTTTTCTAAAAAGCGCTTTAGAAATTAGGAAAATCAATTCATCCTCTAGTGATAGAAAATCTCTGGGACTATATTATGTTTTATTTTCTTAAGACAAATATTTCTAAATTGTATTCTCCCTTATATGTAATTGTATTCTCCCTTATATATGTGTGCACACAACATTAATTTATTTTTAAACACATGTGATTTAATTTATTTATAACTTCAATACGTTATTTCAGTTCCTAAAAATCGATTTTCAATTTAACTTAATATTTGTTAATCTTTCTATGTATGCGAAAAAGTGTTAAGCACTTAGACAAATTTGTTCATTATTTACCCTCACTATAACACTAAGCAATTTTTCATTATTTTTATTAAATAATATGGAAAATAACCAGTTTGTAGCTGAGAAAAGACGTGATGTTAAATATTGAAAATTCTAGGACAAACCTTTTAAGAGTTAAATGATTGTTATTAACCTATTTAACTTTTTGAATCTAACTTTGACTTGTACTTATTTACATATAACTAAAAACTCTTATGAATTTGTGTTTTATGTTTTAAAATTTATTTTCAAATATTTAATTAAACATTAAGGCAGATTTTTCATCATTTAGTCACGTAAAAAAAATATATTTAAATTATTGACCTGAATGAAGTTATCTTATTATGAAAGCAATCATAAAATTTATAATTACTTATGTATTTAACATCAAGTCTTCTCTTGTATTGTCAATTTTAAAACAAATAAATAAATTTCGTTCATTCATAAACATTTTTCTATTTTGTGGATTAAAAGAGGTTATTTAATTTTATGCAGGTTCCTAAATGTGTTGCATTGAATTGTAAAACTTCATCATCTTTAAACTTGCTTTTTAATGGAACTATGGTTGACTGTGACTATAGTAATAAAGTAAATATAGTTTACTTTGCTATTGCTCAATTCTTAGGATATATTTATTATTGATTTCATTGTATGTAATAAAATAATAAACAATATTGTCCAAGATTCGTTTAAAGATCCCATTATTCAAAAACTACCTGTTGATTTCTATAGAATTATACTACAAATTCTGTAACACTGTAGCAATGTAAAATTTTATTATAAACTAAGTAATTGATTGTGACTAAGCACTGATTTTAACTGGAAACTGTATTTTTGCCCTATTACTTAATATGATTATGTGTATTAAGTAGTCATTGGCGTGCAGGGCAGGGATAAAGGCGAGCATACACTCCTGTGACCCAATTAATGACTAATTACACTACAATTTAATATTCAGTACTAGATAAGCATTTTTTTTTCTTCAGGAAATTAAGTTTTTTAGGTATATACTTGGTTAAGTCAAAAAAAAATTTTATGAATAAAAAAAACTATTGTCAATAATGAAGTTTTTGGTCATTACAATTTGAATATTTTTTTTTTTCATTTATGAATATTTGTTGAAAATCATAAATTTGTACAGAAGAATAACTTCGCTATACATTAACAGAAAAATGAATTTAAAGTAAAGATTAAATTTTTGTGATTGTATTTTTTTTCCATTAACTAAATTAGGTTTTTTTTTACCCCCTGTAGAGATCATGTCTTATGTTCCTTTTTTCAGGGGTCTAATCAAGAAGTTTGCCTTAGGCATCCACACATCATCCATATGCCATTGTGTGTAGTAGAATTGATATAAATGAAGAGTTTTTGTAACTGGAGAAATTTTATCAAAATCTCAAAGGGAAATAAAAAATTTTACTGAAAATCTGAGAAATAACCCTAAATGAAACGCTAAATGACTATCTACCAATCCTCTTCATGCCAACTAACACATAGGATCTCAAGTTTCTTTTGCAAGTGCCCTCATGGTGCATAGCATTTTTAAAAAGTGCTTAAAGGTGCTTATTTTCGATTTTCGTTTTTAAAAGCCCTTAAAGGTACTTTTTTCATTCGGTATTTTTAAAAAGTGTTTAATTTTCCATTTTCGAATTCCATTCATTTTCCATTGCATACGGTCGGTCGGTAGCGTATAAAAGCACTAATCGTTTTACATGTTTGATTAAATACTTGTGAGTCCACATGTGCGACTACTGAGCCGAGTTCGGTGAGATTCTTGCTCTCTCATGTGCAACTCTGCTGCATTTTGCAAGATAGTGATCTATTTTCAGTAATATATTTAATTATAAAATAATTTACAGCAAACTTTATTTTTATTCACTATAAATTTAGTAATGAGGATCAAAATATTTCTTCCTGTTATAAATATTCATCAATTTACGTATTTTGCTTGTATTGACTCCAGTCTGTACTTCGTCTTATCAAATACCTTAAAAATAAGTAAGTAACGGATAGTGAATTTTAAAAAAAAAAAGTGTTCAGCTAAAAAAAGTAAGAAATTGTTCTCTGCTTCAAACTTACCTAAAAGGTTTTAAAATAAGGCATACTTTATTAAAATTGAAGTTTTTTTTAATATTGTGCGATAATTATTTTTTCTAATAAGTCAAATTAATATAAAAATGTTCAAAGCTTTCAAATTTAAGTTTATTTTGAGTAGTTTAAGTTTTTTAATACATAGAAAAAAAATTTGCGAATTACCTCAAGTTTCTTCCATTGTTTTTAATTTGCATTTCAGATAAATAATTATGCAATATAAAGTTTTATTTTTATTAAAAAGTGTTGATATTTTAGATTCTCAGGCAATTCTAAAAGATGAAAGTATCGGAGTCAGAATCCGCATGATAGTTATTAGTTATGCATTTGAATTTTTCGATATTATTTTCTTGTGCGTTCAAAAATTTTCAGCTTGATTTTATTTGTTTTTTAAATTTAAGAATAAAAAATTAATTTATTGATCTGTCAAATATTTTTATTTTATTGGAGCTATTTTAGTAAACTTTCTTGGTTTTAAGTACATGCAAACCTTGTTTAATTGATGTTTTGTTTTCCTTTTACATTATTTCCTTGTAGACTCTAACAAATGTCTCTTTGAACTGCCCAGCGGACCTTTCATTTTGCATTACTGAGGGAATTGAAGTTGCTAACACATTTTGTGAGTTTAGTAAGGATAAATTGGGTGAGTTTCTATGTGTATAATAAACTTTCTCAGCGTATGGTGAACATGTAATAATACATATCTGGAATTCAATAGAAACTTCCCTACCAACTTCATTGAACCTATATTCACGAATTTTAGCTCAATAATAGTCCTGTTAGAATTGTCTTATTCTCCCAAAATTTTACAGTGCTTTTTACACACCAATATCACCCCTATAAAGAATTGTCAAAGTCACTCAATATTTTATTCAGCCAATACAGAGCCTCTGTAGGCCGATATTAGTTTGATATAGGACTAATATTAAAAAATCTAGGCATCCTAATATTGTTCCAACTGTGAATGTTCATATAGGGCCCCTTATTGAGCCAATTTTGAGTGCAACTGCGGCCAAAGTAAAATTGTTGCTCGGGTTAATAATATTAATAAATAAAAATGAAATAATAAGTAAATAGTTTGAATACCTTTCAGGGTTAAAATGTAGTACATAGTGATTAAAACAATATTACTTTTCATTTTATTCTATTGGTACTTAAAAATAAGGTACTTAATATAATAATATAATAGTTAAATATTGGTACTTAATAATAATTTCAAATCGATGTGTGCCTGCTAATCTGAGAAGCAAAGGAGGTCAGTGCACAATGCTGACTACATTACCTCTGTCAAGCCATTGGTGGAAAGGAAGGTTGGCAAAACTCAGGATTTTTTTTTNTTTTTTTTTTTTTTTTTTTTTTTTTTTTTTTTTTTTTTTTTTTTTTTTTTGCATTTACCAATCAAAGCTCTAATAAAATGTATTAATAATGCTTGATATTAAATAAAAATATAATTGATAAAATAATGAATTCTTCCTACTAAAATGGTTAAAATTATTTAATTACTTCAAACTAACATCTGAATAAATAAAATTTTAGTGATTTTTAATAAAGCTCAGCACCTTAATGTATTGTATTTAAATTTCATTATTCCTGTATGCTAACTTTATACGTAAGAAGTATTAAAAGTACTTATATTTAAATAAACTTTAAAATTGGTAATGATTAAAATACGTTAATTATGCAGCAAATTATTTAATGTACAACTATCAAAAAATTATAATTTAGTTTTAAGGTGTTGTGCTATTTTTATTCACATTTCTTTTTTTCTTCTTTATTTATTAGTCTATTTTGAACCTCAAATAATAATTGACATACCCTTTTATTATTTCTTCTAGATAAATGCTAATTTTCAATGATGAAATCATACTTAAAAAATTCAAAACCTTAAGAATATACTTATAAATTATATTGTATACTGAATATTTTTGACTTAATGCTATAAAAAATCAATTGATTGATATCAATGATTTTTTTTAAAAAAGTAAAGTAATTTAAATTATGATTTGCATCAAGTGATTTAAATTGTAAAATGTTCAAATTTAACAAATCGCCCACCATGCAAGGTCAGTGATGCATTTTTAGTTGACAAAAAACCTGTCGCATACATTCACCCCAGGTTTATTGGGCAATTTGGTTTGGAAATTTTGGACCACCCCTCCCTACATCCCAGACATTGCGCTGAATGATTTTCATCTTTTCTGATATTTAAAAATCATTTTGGCGACAATCACTGCAACGATGACGAATACGTGAAAACAGCCTTGACCTCTTGGTTAAGGGAGTAGGGGACAAGTGCTTTTGAAGAGGGCATTCTAAATCTAGTTGTAAGGTATGATAAGTGCTTAAACAAACTTGGCACATATGCTGAAAAAAAGAGAAACGTATGTAGAATCTGAAAATAAATTTGCTTCTTCAAATTTTTTTTTTGTTTGGTTTTTATTTTCAATGGGCCTTTACTTAAAAAACAACCCTCATATTTAATATTTATTAATGTCTATATTCGTAAATATTTATTTAAAGCTATTCAATTGTAACTATTTATTCATGTCTAATCCTAGAGTTGTTTTTTTTTTTTTTTACATTGCAGCTGTATCTCTTCAGATTTTCTTCATTACACCATCAGCTTATGATTTATCAAATGTTAGCATTTCTAAACAGTTTGAGATTCAAACTGTCCAAACAATTGCTTCCAAAATTGGTGTTCCTGTAAGTTACATTACAAGTTCATCTCTACATGTTTACAAATCAGTCTATTTGGAATTTACTGTTTGTCCTCCTCGAGATGCCAATGAAACTGCTCTAGAATTAATTGTCACAAAAATGCAAGAATTTCTCAAAAATTCCACTTTTGCTACTATTTTTAAGGACAATGCAGATTTACCAGTTGCTGCTACTGATATAAGGTGAGCCAAACTAAAAATTTCAAATCATATTTTGTGTACAAGACAGAGTATCAACATTACACATAGATTTTATTTTTGTTATTGATGCAGTTGCAAAAACTTTGGTAGCAATATAGACACTTCTACAAAAATAATGATAAAAAAAGTCAGCAAAAAGAAAAAAACTTGATTTCATGAAAATTTTAATTTTAAAATTTCTACTCTCTGAGTGATGCCTTAAATTTCTGTAATATTTCCTACTTTAATGAGAAATATGTTTTATTTTCACATTGGAACAATTTAGAAAATATTAATATAAAATAATATATTATATTACCCCTATTTGTGTTTTCTTTAAATATTTTACACAGTTTTTTATTTTCATTTTAAAAATATTTTTTAAATCTTATTATATTTTACCACCAAAAAAAATTAGATTACGCTAAAATTGCTCACAGAAATAGGTGTAAAGATAGAAATCTCAGATTGATTCCTCAAATTGATTTCAAAATTTTAATGACCTGAAATTTCATTATTAAATGTTTATGTTAAAATTTCATTGACTTAATAATAGTAAAAGCGACAGGGATAAGTTTTAGTATCCTTAGTCACTGGACGTATGGGGCATCCCTCCAAAATTGGATGTATGGGGCCCTTTTTGCCCTTCCTTGCTCTACTTGCCATTGTGATCCTCTTGTGAGCATACTGTTGAAGGAAATGGAATACCTGTATTTGTATTTGTGTGTTTTTTTAAATGAAATTAAAGTTGGTTTTTCATTTTAGTGTTAATTCAAGATCTGATGAGGGAATCAGTGATTCTGAAGGCTTCCAGGCACTAATCATTGTGCCTATAACTTGTGGAATCTTTGCATTGGCAACATTAATTGCCTCCCTTATGAGATATGTAATTATGCAAAGTTATAGACCTAAACGACAAACTATAGAAAGACAAGAACTTAATGAAATTTCTCCAATTTCCACATGACAAAAGCACATTTTATAATTTAAAGAATTTTTGTTAAGATTATATGATGAATATTCAGATATTTTTTTATATCTGAAACGGTGCCAATAATTTTGTACTCAGTCTATTTATCTAAAATATTGAATACATATACACACGTATAACATGTTAAAATAATGTCTCAAATGGCATTGCTTTTCTCATGTATGTATTGCAATATTTTTCACGTTAAATACTTTATTTTGTGTACATTAACTTAGTTAAGTGTCTATAATTACTTTTAAGCAAATCATATTTTTAAAATGTAATAAAGTATTAGTTATTTTCATATCTTCGTAGTATTATAATTTATAAACAGACGTATAAAAATAAAGTACACAATAGCTATGTCCTGATTTTTATGCCTTGGACTTCATTTTAAATCTAAATTTTTGTATCAATGTAAATAATCGATATTTAATACTTACTAATAACATATATTTATTCTTAATAAAAGTGAAAAATACTATTGTATTTTAAATTTTGTAATTCACTATTTTAGATTTTTTTCCTTCTTTTTTTTTTGTATTTTAAGTATTTTTTTTATGTTTCATTTTAGTGTTTTTTATTTCATTTTAGAATTGTGCAATATTAAAAAATTTTATGCATGTGCTCTGATAAAAACCTTCTTAGCAATTGAAAAGTGGTTACTTTGTTATTATTTTATATTTTCTATACTTTCCACTGTAGGGCCAAATCAATAGTCGCCACTTGCTGATTAATATAACAAATTGCCATTAAAAAATTCTCAACCAGGATAGCCACTATTTTCCTTGAAAATGCACCTTGAATGCAGTTTATAATTTAGTAAATTTGGAATTAGTGTAAATATTTTGTAATATTCTAAAAATGGCTTTATTTCAAGGTTGTTTCTTAAAATTGTTCTTCATTTAAAAAATGCATTCAAAAGAATACCTTTCCTTAATAATAATAAACAGCTTTTCACTTGTTAAAAGTTTCTAATTTATGAAAAAAATTGCATCATGTTTTAAAATGTGCCCACCATTAAAATTGCTACAACTTACCAGTTGCAAAATTTCCTAATTTTACCTTATATTTTCTACTTTATTTTTTTCGCTGAGCAAAGATTTTCTACCTAAATTTCCTTTTGACAATGTTCGCTGCACAAATTCATTAACTTCACTTTTTGAAATACAATTATATTTATAGCTCAAAGCACATAACACATTTGTGGTTGTGAATATCTGAAAATCAAGGTGGAAAACTGTTTATGCCCGTGAATACTGATTCAGAGAAAAACAAATTTCAGGGTTTGTGAATTTTTCAGAAGACACATTTCATTCTGTTGTAATCGTAAAAAAAAATAAGAATATGCATTAATGTTGAAGGCATTTATTTACTTTCCCTTAAAGTTTCAAAACAAAATTTACAATTGTGGACATTGAAAAAAAAAACATTGAAAAATTGTGTTTGGCAAGAACTATATTTCCCTCAAAATTCCTCCCCAATCATTACTCCCTCTCTCATATTCCCACTGCACTGTGCTTTTTTTTTATTCTCCTTGTCTATGTGTAAATAGTAACTGTTTTTACCCTGCGCGGCCCATCTTCATTGTATAATAACTTTTAAGGTGAATCGATTTTCCACATTATTGATTCCACATTATCGATTTTCCACATTATTATTCCACATTTTCAAAACTTACTAGTCCTCAAAAGGCAACAAATGATGATCCAATCGTCCTTTTAGGGGAAAATGGGCAAAATCAGTTCTTCTTCGTCATTATTATTTAAATTTTTGATGAAAAGTTCTAAGTAGGAAAATTTAGATTTTTGTACCATTTTCAATTTATTTTACTTAATTTATATCACTTACGTTTTTTAGATAAAAGATAATAAAAAGAAAAGTTTGTATAGCTTATAAAATGTAAACAGTAGAAATAAGGAAGTGTGCCTGTATTTAATAGCAAACAATTTACAATGGAGGAATCAATTTCCATGATGGGCATCTAAGAGCACATAATAAAAATTTACTTAATACACAAAAGTGGAGACTTTTGTAGATTAAAAATGTAAATCACCTAGTCTGAAAACGAGTCCTTGCTGTAAGAAATCCACTAAAGATAAATGGAAGTTTTCAAACTCATTAATTAAAAAAATTGGAGTAAAAAAAGTTTATTCAAAAATATTATGCTTAATTCACAAATAATTGTGAAATATTTGCTATTAAATCTTATGAAAGCTACGCATAAACTTCTTTTATTGACTACCAAAGAGCATTAATCCTATTTTAGACGAACTTTCAGAAAAAAATACAGAACATAAAATTTCCTTTTTACATTTTTTAAATTAATCATTGGTCTCAAAACTGCTAACTTGATATACTTGAATTTTAATAATGTCATGCAATTGGGTGTTTGCATTTTAAGAAGATCACGGATATTCACACTTGTGATTTATTACATGCAGCTTGCTAATCAATTATAAACAAATTAACGTGTTAAAATTTAACTAAGTATATAGTTGAAGAATTGAAATCTTTGTGTAGGAATATAGAATGTGTCGCTTAAGAGAATAGACACTTGTCGGGCTTGGCTTACTCGAAATAGAATGAAAAGAGCAGTTGCTAACATGAACAAATTCCACGTTTCAACAACCTATCAGGATCAGATGACCCATTTAGCAATTACGATTGTATAAACCATATAGTCAAAGATTTGTTCATTTATGAATATCTTTTCTTAAATAAAAGAATTTATTTTATCTAAAAAAAAAAGATTTAATTTTTTAGGCAATTTAAAAACATAATAGTTTAAAAAACTTGTTCTCGCTTAGCTTTTTCGGTGGAAGGGATATTTTTACATGCCAACAGAAACCTGTTTAGGGAGTTTTTTGCGGGAAAATATTTTTCACAAATACTGTTCTCATTCGCAATCATATCCAGTGAGAATGGTCGTTGGTCACAAATGGTCGGTCCAGTGGTTAAAGAATCGGACCGGAGTTCGATCTTCGATTCCACTAATTCGCGAAATCAAAGACCTATAGGGGGCGTTGTTATTTAAGACGAATGACTGCTGGCAAAATAACACGATCATCACTTGCGCTGAAGATTTCTTCCGTGTAGCATGGTAACGTTCCTTCCTTATTGGCGATCGAAATGGGCTGCAGGTGGCGTAGAGCAGAACTCTTTTCCTATGGCAACACTTCACATGCTTTCCCCATTAGCGTGTGGAAAGTCATAGAGGAAGGAAGTACGTTAGTTTCTCTCTTGATTTTCATATAGATTAAAATCTTTTAACTTGAAAAACTATATGGAACTGAAAACTACATTAAACATAGTTCT